AGAATGATTTGTCAAAGTATTTTGCTAATGAAGATGTTAATAACGATAATTTTGGTGGAGAGTTTGATTTAATTAAATACATACAATAACAAATAAAACTTTGTACCCAAGTAGCAATAGTGATTATCCTTTGTCTTTTGTTGCTTATATATTAAATGTGTTACGTTTCTCAACTTCAAATATTCTAGAATTTGTTTCTCAAAAAGAGCATCATTGCCAAGAGTTATTGTCCTAGTGCGAGTGGCAGATCTTAATCATTGATTCTGGGGTTCAAATAATATATTATTAAAATAAATAAATAAATATAAAAGGGTGAGAGGACAAAATCATAAATTATACGAGAGTTACAATCTGAGAAGAGAGTGAGAGGATAAAATTATAAATATATAAGTAAATATATTAAAATTTTGGGGAGGGGGAAATCATAAATTACATGGGAGTTACAAAGCTTTGGGAGGTCACGACCCCCTTAGTTCCAAAGAAGATCCGCCACCGACTTAGTGCACATAGAACAATAGCGTGACATCAGTCAGGTAAGACCTCAAACATTCATTATGTTATGTGAACAATTAAGAACAATTGGGTTATTAAAATATGTATTTCGATTAACCATTGATGAACAAGCAACTAAATTTCTTCACATTATTGGTCATAACATGAAGAATAGAAGTGTCTCATTCTTTTTTAACCGTTTTTGGGAAACTGTTTCTAGACACTTTTATAATGTCTTGAATGTCATATTGATGTTGGAGGCTGAATTCTTAATTCAACCACCTGGGTTGTTGTTCTTAAGGTAATATAGTCTAAACTCAAATATCAATTTAAGTGCATAATGTATTTATTGTTGTTTATATTTGTAATTTTTTTTTTTTTTGCCCTTTAGGATTATTTAGGAGGCAATAGATGACACTTATGTACGTGTTAGGGTTCCAAAAGTAGGTGTTTCACTTTATCGTGGAAGAAAAGATTGGTCAACACAAAATGTATTTGCAACATATGATTTTGATATGAAGTTTACGTGTATGTGTTAGTCGGGTGGGAGGTAGTTGCATTTGATTCACGAATTTTAAAGGATACCCTTATTCGAAAGGATCCATTCATTATTTCAAAAGGTGAGTTGTAGTGATTTTATTGGACTTGATTTGTGGTCACTTATAAGTCATTGAAATAATATTAAGTATAATAATTATAGGAAAATATTACCTTGGAGATGTGGCTTTATGTTAAAGTTAAATATAATAACATTGTATCGTGACGTAAGATATCATCTAAAGAAGTACAACCAAAGAGATCCAAAAAATCTAAAAGAGTTGTTTAATTTTTATCATACATCACTTAGAAATGTTGTTGAAAGGACATTTGATGTTTTGAAGAAACAATTCCCTATCATAGCGAGTGGAGTTGAAGTACATTACTCATTGGAGTCTATGACCAAAATTATCTTAGCATGTTCTATTATTCACAACTATTTTCATGGAGTCGACAACGATGACTTATTAATAGTTGAGGTTGGTCAAGAGTTTATGGACCAAGATATGTAATCATCTGACACTCAAGATCAAGATAATGATTATAGATTAGGGTTAAATCTTAAAAATTTTATCGCAATATGTGGAGAGACTATGAAAATAATTATGTTATACTTGTTTCTCTAATATACAAATATTTTCTAATGGATATTTATGACTTATTAATGAAATATTTGTTTTTTACCATATTTACATATTACTGTCTTAAAATGTTTGGACAAATTATGTTTTTAATGGGGAAATCATGTATAGAGGCAAGGATATTGTTCTTGAGTCATCTGCCGACATTAAAGAGTTTACTAAATGGACAACAGAGATGGATTTATGCCTATTGACAACCATGATTGACGAGGCAATAAAGTTTATGATAGTTGGACCACGCAGGCCTATAATAACATTGTTGACTCCCTTCAACAGTTAGACTTGGTTGGTATCACAAAAAATAATATGAAAAATAGGTAGAAGAGCCTAAAGTACAGGTAGCGAGATGTTCATACCTTTTTGTTGGCCTGAGTGGCTTTACATGGAATGAATCCACAAGATTGTTTGAGGTCGAACCAGAAATTTGGGATGACCTCATATATGTGTTCGTTATACCTTACTTAATTACAATAAATAATCAAACATTGTCAATTTCTTATCTATTACGTGTGTTTTTCTATTGTAGGCAAAATCTTTTACTGCTAAATGGAGAATCACCCTCATTAAATACTATGTTTTGATGGAGAAATTATGGGGTGCTGACCATGCCACTAGCCACGAGTTGAGAACAACATGTCAAATCCATCAATGTATCGAATGATAATCATTCACGATAGATTTGAATGATGATATGAAGTATATCCCGGAGGAGCTTATATTTCATGGGTTAGGAGAAGATGTTCCTCGCTCCCCCCATACGTGGATTCACATAGTCCAACACCATCTATCCCATCCAGTGATACATCTTCTTCTCGGGACTAAAAAAGGAATGTCTTGATAATAGATGTGGTGAATACCCAGTTTGAAAATTTAAATACCAAACTAGAAGTTGTTATTGAAGCAATTGGCAGAGGCAACGACATTTCTAACATATTGGTCACATATGCAGAAAGACAAGTGATGGGCGTTGAAAATAGGAACGAGTTATTATGCATGAATGCAAACTTTCAACACTTCAAGACCGACATTTGACAATTATAGTTAACATGAGAATTAGTGATGAAGAAGTGATGGACCACTGTTACAACTTCTTGTGTGCACATCCATCGCACACAAAACGCCTATGTGGGATGTCAATTTCTCGCTGTATGAACAAATTAATTAGTATGATGTCGGGAAATCAGGGTTGATTTGTTTGTAATTTAATTAATTACTTTTATAAATGTAAATGTGTGTTGAATTTTATATCATTTACTTTAAATGCATTTTATGTTATGAATTAGTCATTTATAATAAGTATTATATTTTACCTTCCACTCACAATTATTATTTTTTGTTATATTTGTAAGCATGACTTCCTCATCAAAAAGATATTGAAGTGATAAGGACAAAAAAGAAAAAGGTGTTGCTTCTGATCATAGAGATCCTCCGCAACAAATCGAGGTTGAAAATGTCTTAAATCTTATGTGTTGGTTCAACACACATGAACAAATGGTATAATATAATAACTCATATAATGGACAGAAAGTTTTAAGCCTAAAAGTATTGAATTTCCCTTCTTTATCACATCAAGGTTACACTTCCATAATTATATTCAATTTCAAGGGTGACACAATTTTGTAAGTTAAATTCAAAATATTATGATAAACTAATTGGAGTCTTTTACATAAACCTAAAAATCACAAAACGGGAAATTTGTATAGTGAGGTGAATAAGACAAACATCAAAATAACACATGCGAAATGGTTAACTCTAGCTAATCTTAAATATGAAGGTTATAAGATATCATTTCCTAATATCTCAGAAGACATGAAGTACGATCAAGAAATGACATTGAACTCAATGCTAAGACCATAAGTCCAAGGTCAAAATGTCAGAAATGTAGGAAATTTGTAGATTAATGACATACTTTTGCATTTTATCCTTGTTCATATATTGATTTCTTGGGTGAAAATTTTTGCAAAATTGACAAAGAAAGATATCTTTATGTTGTGAGCATTGAAAAGTAACATTCCAATTAATTGGTCGCATCATATTATGCAGTATATGTTGAAATATAGGAACAATAACATGTATCTTCCATACACCATATTCATCACACGCATAATGGTAATCTATGACGTGGATTTGATTTTGGATTTCTTCATTGTCTTGAGTTGGACTCATTACTTTAGTAAAATAACGTTGAATAAATTAAATATTGTTTGTGTCAACGACGTGTGACAACATGGAAGGGTCAATCATGTCCACTATGAAAATCCTGTTATACCTGAAGATGATGCAACGAACCTTGGTCAAGAAAGCTCTACCCACTATGAACCAGTTTAGCTGCATTCAGCCCCCATGATAGTCAAATGTTATCACAAATTTGGGAGATTCAGGATATATAAACAAGAATGCAACAAATGGAAGATGATTTAGCTAATATAAACTTGATTGTTAGCACATGGTTCATGATTAATCGTTTGGATGAGCGATTTAACGACTTTCAAGACTCCTTTCAATAAAATTGAAGTCTTAATTTGCTTACTTTTATATTTGAATATTTGTTTTTATTAACTTTATATATTTTTTTACATTTTTTTCTTATAATTTTACAATTTATTATACAATTTATTTTATCAACTTTCATTCTTAATCATATATTTAAACTTAAATTAACTTTATAATTAATTAAAAAAATTATTAATTTAAATTTATAAATTTATTTCATTTAAACAAATTAAGTCAATTTTTTTTTCAAATTAATTTTCAAGTCACATATTTAATTTTATAATAAATTTATATAATTAAATAATAATATATTTTAAATAATATATTATTTATCTTATATTATATTCTCAAATATGGGTAAAATAATAACCTATCTATTTTATTAATTAAATCTAAATTTTTTAATTTATCAAATTAATTATATCATTCACAAATTAATCGAAACAATAATCAGTTTATCTCTGTTTCTCTTCAAATTCCTCCTCTCAAATTCATTTATACTTGAAATACACTCTTCATCTATATATATATATATATATATATATATATATATATATATATATATATATATATATGATATATATATATATATATATATATATAATGATTTTTTATTATTATTTTTCTCATCAAATATTCTCTCTTCCACACCCACGTAATAAATCTAGGTATAAACTAAAAAAATATTTAAGATTTTATTTTAAGAAAAATATTTAGGATGGAGCAAACAAAAACATTGACAGTGTTTGTGTGGCCGGGTGGTGGGTGAGAAGCAAGAAAAAGGCAGCTTATATGTAAAGAAGGTGTGTGTTTCTGATAAAGAGGATCTGCGGAGTTATGGGAGTAGCGGCGGCGATTGGAGTGTTGTCACCGTTTCCGTTTTACTACTATCTCTGGAATTGGCCCCAATCATGGGTGGAGTTCTGTGGTAAAGGTCGAGACCCTTCTAAGGTTATGGCTCACGTTGCTCATTTCTTGAAGCTCGTTCAGTTCATCTCCCTCATCTCTGTCTCTTCATTTCACTGGCCTCCTCCATTCTACTTTTGGCCCCTTTTTGCTTTTGGTCAATTCCTAAACTTCAGGTTCTCTTTCACTCTCTATGCATCTCATTCCTTGCTTGTTTTCTTTTCTGGGTATGCGTAATTTGTTCGATCTTATACTGGGATTTATCAAGTTGCTTCCATTCTTTTCCTATACTTCACTATTGGATGCTGAAATGGTACATTTTTTAACTGTGCTGTTTGTTGAATAGTTTGACGATCTTTGTTAGCTTTGGCTTTTAGAAAAAAGGAGTTTGTTTATTATAGTTGAAAAAGTACTTCTGGGAATACCAAGATACCGAAGGAAAATTTAAAAAAAAAATGTACTTTTTGAGAGTATAAGTACTTTTGAACGCCTCCAATGACCTACCGTGGTGAATTCAGTTAGTCTACCACATTTTGCAGTTTTTAGTTTACTTCATTTGGTGGTGGGGTAAAGACATTATTCTGGGAATCTTGTTGAGCTTGTTAAGTTGTGGTAAATGAGTGGTTTGTGTAGGGAAAGATGGATATTGTGTACTTTATTCTAACCCTGTTTCAGTATTCGGTGATTTTTTTGGCCGGTTAATTGAACTTTAACTATACGAGACTTCATTTATACTAGTGATGCGTCTACCAAAACTGAAATATGCTAAGAGATTACAGGCATTTACAGACATTATGGTTGCTTGTGAAGCAAATCACTTAAGTATGGTATGCAAATTGGTCTAATAGATTAAGTTCGTAATGGAAGAGGCGGAGGGAAATGTTTTGAAGAATGTAGAAATGTTTGGACAAGCTTCTCTATAAGTGTTCTATGAGAACATACAATAAGAAGAAAATTGAAATCAGTTTCTCCATAAGCCAAAATAGTTTATGTATAAGTTAAAAAAAAATAGAAAAATTATAAAAGAGTTTATTTTAGTTTATAGAGAAACTCATTTCATTTTATTTTTCTTCACAAAAAGTGCTAATGGAAAGTCTTGTCCAAACAGAATCTGGATCATGTTGTAGTATGGAGTTGTGATGTCTGTGTTGGGGTGACTGTAGCTTTAAAAACAAGATTTACACAGATTCTGTGAGGAGCATATCATTATTGTAGAAGGCATGTTTTCACTGCAAAGCCTTACCATGGGCACTAGAAAACAAAAACCTCCTGTGTGTGATCTACAAAATGTTAAAATGACAATGGTTTACAAACTGTGAATCCAATGGATGGAATAATGGCTTGCTAATAAATTTCCCAGTATGGAATAGTAAATGCAGACTTAGTTGGAGGAATGCCAGCTTTTTTATGAAACACTTTTAGAATTTTCTAGCCCGTTCTCCCCATCATTTATTTTGAAAGGCTTTCAATGTTACCAAATAATCCCGTGCCTTACTTTTATTTTTATCCTTGTGTACCTACTTTTAATTAGGGTGCAGTGACTTGACTTTGTTACTTTGAAGTTTGTCTGGCATACTGATAATGTTGTCAAATAACAGGGTTTATCAGCTACTCGGTGAGGCTGGCACATACTATGGAGTACGTTTTGGAAAAACTATTCCCTGGGTTACTGAGTTTCCTTTTGGTGTCATCAAAGACCCTCAATACGTTGGCAGCATTATGAGTCTTCTTGCATGCCTCTCGTGGGTTCCTTTTGAATACATTCTCCTTTGGGTTTTAGGGTATGTGTTTATGATGCATGTGGAATCAAAAGAAGATCCATCTACTCGTGCCAAGCCACTCCTCTGATTGAATGTCAGTAGAGTAGAAAGAACATGGAAGACTTACCAGCACCTGAAATGCCAAATTCTTGTATGTCGCTGTTTCTTTCCACTGCTCTGGAATGAACATTTATATTTGTATGTTCTGATTCCGTCAAATTATTTCTCATGAACTGCAAACTTCTTTTTGTTTCTTATGACATGGGCATAAGCATTCAAGCAATTCAAAGCATTAAGTGATTAACTTTAATGAATGTAACGTTCCCACTTTGATTAGGGTTCATCATTTTTGTATGCGGATCAAAGAAGACAAGGATTTATCCTTTTATTTACCATGTCATTAGTTTTATTTCTGTGTCTTTCACTGTTTTCTCAATCCAAATTTTTACAATGTTCTGACTTCAACTTTCATTCCTGTTTTCTCATTCAGAACACGAACTGAACCATAAATATGTACATGAACACTTGTCTTTGTTAATTTAAAAAGACAGTTAATATAATCACTTAACCATGAGTACAGAACACTTCCCCTTTTCCCTCTTTCACTCTATACTAAAGCTGGAGCCAAATTGAATGTTTGAACTGCGGTTTTTATGGCCTCAACATCAATATCTATCAACTTTCCTGTCTTGGATGATATTATAAGGCATTTCTTATCTTCAGCCTGCGGAACAAACTTGTTCCCCATCTCTTCAGAGCAAAATAGTGCAATACTGCACGATAAGAGGAACAGTTCTATTATGGAACTAATCTGATTCTATGTAGCCATACTTGAAACAGTTCGATTATGCAATACTCCTTAAAAGCTAAATAAAAAAGACAAACTTGGAAAAGCATCTTAATTTATTTGAATGATAAAATTACCAAGGTTTCTCGCGTGCAATTGCAAGTTGAATGGCAGCTGTGTTTGTAGCTATCACTCCAGCTGAATCATTAACAAGAGCAGCCAACTGAAGAATACAACCAGAGAGTGAAATACAGTTAGTATTGTGTTAAGATTCCAAAACTCAATGCTCTGTCTATTATTTTTCCCAATCCTCTTCATTCCGTTTTTCTTTGTTTCCATATTCTTATTTGATGATTTTTTTTATTCACTATTTCTCAGTTTAATGTTTTGTCATTGTTTTACTATCTACTCTTTCTTTATATGTTTGGTGCTTGCAAAATAACTAGAAGATATTTGAGTACCTGTCCAGGAGTGGTGATGAAGATAATAGAAGCCTCTTCTCCAAAGTTTTCCTCCACATTTTCCCTTTCCTTTTCATGAGGAATGACAAAAAGTGGCGTAACATCCCTGTCACTCAAAATGTTGTCCGTAACACTAATACCAGGCAATGATAGAAGACAAGCAAAAAACTTATGCAAGAGAACTTACTTATTGAACATTATTAAGAATGATACTACTTTACTGGCTGTCATTAAGTCTTATAAGTTAAGAAACAATAAGTAACACAAGTCTAAAAGATGTTTCCACGAGGTAGAGTCTTTATGACATCAAGAATACTTCTAGTTCAACACGAATTTCATTTTGCAAAATTGCATACCTTACAACGTCAGCAATTTCAACCCACACTTCAATGGGTAGCAAGCTATCAGAATCACCCCTAGACTGCATGGAGGCCTTTGAATCTGATTCGATACCGTGAATTATAACATATTTTCCTTTTTCTACACCTGCTTTTTTGTATTTTGCCTCCACAACCTCCTTCAGCTTCCTTGAGATTGACACCCTAAGTGGGGGCACTGTTTGTCTTGGAACTTCTCGAAATGGTCTTCCCAGCCAGTCAACCATCTGGTGGTACCTAGTCCAACAAACTCATTGAAAATTTCTCAGTTATATGACTGAAAAACTTCAATTCTGGTCAAGATTATTTTAATTTCTAGCTTAACCAAGGGCATCAAAATCTACCTAAATAGAAGGTATTTGTGTGGTACTATATAAACTCACATATTATATCCTCCATCTGAGAGATTTAAACTATTGGCTTCAAATGTTTCAGATAAAAGTAATCCGGCTCCTGCAGCATTCACATTTGGGTAGATGTAGCTAGCTCTATCTCGGGCACTTGTCATAAACACAAATGCTGCATGGCCAAGGCCTGCCAATTTGGTGCTTAGGACCATGTCATAGTACCTATTCTGTAAGCAGAATGCAGGAACTTATGTTAGTTTTTAAGGTAAATCAACTTAAGAATACCATTGGAAGAAATAAGTTCTTATAGAAGTTTCTTATACAAGCAACAATAATTAGGTTGGTTAACCATTAAAAATACAAATTTTGCAGTAAAGAAAGAAGTTCTTGTGTGAACAGAGAAATAAAAGGAGACTCATTAAAAGTAAGTTAAAAGTGCAACTTAGATTTTATCATTAGAGTGAAAAATTGTAAATTATTTTTAAATTCGAAGTGGCAATAAGATATTCACTAAAAAAAATAGTTAAGAACTGAAAATAAGTTTTTGCACTGAACAGGCTCTCAGGAAGTAGCATGCAGTATGCAGCGGAATTGTGAGATTTGGTTGCAGTATTGTACACCCAAGTCCCTGCAAGTGCAAATTTCATTAGAATTCGATCAAGATAGCGCGTTCTTTAAGCTTCTTCACGTTAGGGAAGGCCATCTAAAATCTAGATCCTGTATTTGTCCGTAAATTATCACAATTTCGGACAGAAATCAGTAATCAAAGCTGGATGATAGAGTGACGTGTAATTTTGTTCATATGTAGTGTTTCATTTCACTCATTATCTGCTCTTGAGATTATACTTTTAAACTTGCTTCTGTTTTCTATATCTGCATATGCTTATAGAAAGTGGTCATATCATCATTTTCTCTTTGCCAATATGGATTAACCATCATTAAGGCCCATGTTATTTATGCTGTCCTATACATAGTTCTGTAGATAAACATGAAAAGTTGTTCATTCGCACAAGATATTTAGAGAATATATATGGTGGCCAACCTTTACAACTCCAAGAATATCAACATACTCAGCAGGCTCGGGAAAATCATCATCAATGTCATAGACATTTGCCCACCTAACATTCTTATTCAATTCATAGGTCTGCTTCCCCCTCTCGGACGCCACCACATCAATCTGAACACCAGGGTACCTATTCTTCAACAGCTGAATAGCAGGAAAGAACAAGAGGTTCTCATAAACACCACCAGATATCAAACAGCAGCATCTCCTCACATCCCCTCTCACTTTCAAAGCAAGGGATGCTATCTCCACAGCATATCCAGGAGGGAACTTCAAAAAGCCATAAGGGTTATCAGGGTCATCTGGTGGCCTAGGATCCTCCTCCTGCATCCCATTTGCAAACAAAGAACCAGTCTCCATATCAGGGTCTTCCCCATCATCAAAAAGGTCTAACCAAGGATTCTTCTTCTTAGCATTGGCCTCAATATTGTATCCTCTTCTTGTGGAACAATGGAAGGGATAGTCCAGCGAACCTAACAGTGAAACATGACCCGAAGGAATGGAAGGTGGGTTTCTGAGAAGAGGTGGGAAAGTCTTCGGACTTTGGAGTTTATAATAAGTTGCAGCCATTGAGTTTTTCAAAGTTTCGTCACTCTTGACATGGTTGTACTGAACTGATGATATATTACAAGTTCTTTCTTAGATTAGAATTTAGCTCTGGTTTGAATGTGTGGAAAAGCGTTGGATAAGTGGGTCCCATCTACACCTTTATTTCTGTGTGTGCACCTTACTGTTATCCCCACCAATCTTCTTCTGCTGGCTGCAGTCAAACGACGACACCAATGGTTGTCGTTTTAAGGTTTACAAAATTACAAAAACAGCTGCAGAGGATGCCAATCTCCCATCTCCCTCTCAGCAGCACAGTTGAATTAACAATTAAGAATCCGACAAAAGTGTCCTGTTGTCGATAATTTCTCTTTCCTACGTGTCACTCCCTGAATGGTGACCCTTAAACTTTCCTCTCTCTCTGTCACAACACGCTCCTTTTGATTCGTTGCTTTCACCACCAACTTACCATCAGAAATTTCCATTCACAGAAAAAAAAAATTCTCCCACCCGTTAACTTTCTCTTACTCTTTCTTTTCTCCGCAACTTTCTCAGCACTCTACACTCCCATTTCAGCTTCCATGACTGAACCACACAAACATGCCAATCTGAAGCTTCAACCTTTTTCAGTAAGAGATACCTGAGTAGTTCCCAACTTCTCAGCAAGAAGCAGCTGAACAAGTTTTCACTTCTTCTAGGGTTTGGTTTTGTTTTGCATTGAAATTGAAATCCCACTATTCAAATTTCAAAATGTCCAGCCTTTACTCATAGAAAAAGAAATTACTTTTTTTATTCTTTTCGAGAAGGTTTAAATTTTGAATTTGGAATTCGGCATTGACCTTAGAGAGAGTTCGAGAAGAAGGTTTTTGAGTGCAGGGATTGCAATGTCGGGCCCACCCAGAGTCCGATCCATGAACGTCGCTGACCCCGACTCTCGTCCGGTACTCGTCCCAGCTGGCAACAAGGTCCGACCCGCTTTCGAAGGACGAAAGCCGGTGAAGAAATCGACGCCGGAGTCCGAGAAGAAGCCGGTGGCGCATACGAATGCGCCACCTCAATGCGTCTCGGTTCCGCCGCCGGTCATTTTGCGGCGGCAGGAGCGTCACCAGGCCATGCTGAAGAACCTGTCGTCGATGAACGCTTCGTGCTCCTCCGACGCGTCGTCGACAGATTCCTCCACTCACAGCAGCGGCGCGTCGTCTAGCGGGAAGGTGGCGCGTCGCGTTAGTGTGCAGTTGAGGAAGAAACAGTGTGCTCCCAAGACGGAGAAGGTAAGTAGTGACAATGTGAGTGGTTCGGATGATACTGATTTGAGTGATACCTTGGAGGGCAAGAAAAGGTGTGCTTGGGTTACACCAAATACAGGTATCTTTGTTTCTTATGTGTTTGATCTATTCTTGGTTGTGACATTAATAGTATTGGTTTCGAAGTCTGAGTTTGATTTTGGAAACCGAGACGGATTTTTGTTTATGTTTTCTCTGTCATGTTGCTGTGTTTTCCCCTTTGTATGAGTAGGGAGAATGAACAGAATGATGTTACAAAAGTTGCATTTGCTTGTAAAGTGGTAATTGACCGCATTGTACAAAATGAGAGAGTTCAGGATAGGAAAACAGGTACATTTTTTTAGAAATTTTCCTGCATAAGCTTAGTAAGCCTTGTCACTTAGCAGTTTAGTAAGCCTCCTAGTCATTTTACTTAGAAATAGAAGTTTGTCCCTTTCTGAGTATCACTGTTTGTCAATGTCGAGGTACATTCTTAATTTTGATAGGTTGGAAGCCTGACATAATTAGATTTTATTCCATGTCTGAGAGAAGTGCATAAAGAAACAGTATAATTACTAACTATAATGGGTCATCTCTGTCATACATAGACTATGATCTCTTGATTGGATCTGCGCATTCTCTGCTGTTCATTTGTAATCAAGCATTATGAACAGGTGTCCTAAAAGCTCCTTGTATGATGTCTCTGCTATTTATATATGTATGTGTATATATATATATATATATATATATATATATATATATATATATATATTAAGCAACTGATAATTTTAGCATTAATATGCATTAATGGGACTTCTTATGATCTCATCCTGCCAAGTTTGGCTCTTACACTAGTTGCTTTGGTTTTTATGACAAAGAAAACACGCCTTACTCATGTAGATTCGCTTAAAATTTTCATATTCATTTAAATGTTAAATCATTATGTAGCAGTACACTATTTATCTGAAAAACTATAAGTACAGTTAGTAAATGCATGAACAATTTCATGTTCACGCACAGTTGTCAATATGAATGACACCCTAATGAGTGGCATGTCTTGTGGTGAGAAGTTCAAGTTTTCAATTTGTGAGAATTGGGGTTTCTGTTGAAATGCTGAACATGGGTTGCAGAAGTTTTCCTTCTTGTATAAATCCTGTTATGGGTGCTTAACCTTTTTTACAGCTACCTTAGCAGATTCTTCTCTTATAAAGGAAGCATGGACAGCTCAAAGTTCAAACCAGTAGCCTTATCCATGACTCTTGGGTCTTTCTCTTGAACACTTCAAGGAAGCCTTTGGATACTCCTAGATCCTAGCTTCTTTTTGTACCAATGCAAATGAGAATACCATGCTAAAATCATAATAAATCAATACATTTTCTTATGTCTACAATAATGTTTGCACAATTTAAAACATCAATTCTCTCTTTTGATTTAAGATTTGAAAGCTCATCTAACACACATATCCTAAGTGTCCAATTTAAATGTTGTTTTATTCAGCTCATATCCAGCATGGGCACATTGTCTTAAAATTTAATAATTATTTATTTTATCTGTACATATCTAGTTTTACCTTGAAAAGTTTGTTTAGGAAAGTTTTTGCATTATGTCAATCTTGAATATGAATTATGAAGCTCATATATAGACTATAGAGTGATCAAATCTAGTGACAATGTGTGAGGCAAGAAGAGTTAATCTTTCATTTTATAATCATTTATGGATGATTTAGATTGTTTTACTTACAATTAATCATGACCAACCATTTATGGTTGTATTGTCGAGAATTATTTTCTCTCATTAAGAGCATGCTCCCACCTAATATACTCCCTATATGTGTGTCATAGTTGTGTCCTTCAATTTTTAGCATTTGCTGTACCCGTGTCATGTTTCATGTCAGTGTCAGTGTTTGTGTTTCATAGCATGCAAAGGTTTTCCTTGTCTTACCTTCTCCCTTATAGTTTTGGAATTTGGTCTCTTGTCCTTACCACAAAAGTCTGATGTGGTTTAAACTGTTTATTTTGTTGCACTGGAGTAGACAGTAGTTACTATTACCCTTTTGTCCTGTCAATTTGGTAAAATAAAGTCGATTAGATGTACTCTAGTGCCTGTTAGCATCACTTTCGAGCACTGAGGTGAATTTTCGTTCATAACATCTTTCTATGAAATGGCTAGACAATAAGTACTACTAGTGCTTCCCAATTTCGCTGAGCGCATATGCCTTATTTTTCTTGACTGATATTTCAATACCTGTGACAGCCTAGAGTGGGAGGATAAATATAGAATGTTAATCTTTGGAGTTTGACTTTTTAATAGGCAAAAATGGTACATTAACTTGTAATTGCTAATTTATTTTTCATTTTTTTATTTCCAACTAGTTGTATTTTGTTTCAGAGCCATGCTATGTTGCTTTTCATGACAGTGAATGGGGAGTTCCTGTCCATGAAGACAGGTACGACTGTTTGTTGTTGAGGGTGTACAGTTTTCTGTTTTGTTTTCAATTTCTAGGTTGAAACTGTCTGAATGCTGAAATTTGGTTTTTGCAGGAAACTGTTTGAGTTGCTCAGCTTCTCTGGAGCCTTGGCTGAGCTTACATGGCCTACTATCCTAAGCAAAAGGCAGTTATTTCGGTACTGATATATTGTTCTTTTAAATATATTTTCTGGATTTTAATATGTTATTGGTATATTAGACATGCTCATTAAATAATTGGCTCATTATATGTCCTTTCCGTGCTTCATTTTGTGTTTTTATTGTTTGGGAAGATCTTTTGTGTGGAACGTAGCTTTGGATTAACTGTTGTAACGTATTCATGAACACAGGGAAGTCTTTTTGGATTTTGATCCAATTGCTGTTTCTAGAATGAACGAGAAGAAGATAGCTGCACCAGGAAGTCCTGTCAACTCATTGCTATCAGAACTCAGGTTGCGAACAATAATTGAAAATGCACGTCAGATGTGTAAGGTAAGCCTCTCTAATACTTTATTTTTCTACTGTTATGCGTAGAATGTGTAAAACTTGCAATTTTAATTTCTTTATATTTTCTCTTTCTGAATCACAAGGCTCTTGCTGAAGTGAAGCAACCCATACACTTACCTTACTTTTCAAAATTTTCTGCTACCTACCTTGGAAAGTATTAAGAAAAACGAAATAAACCTGCTTCCTGACCCACAGACGAATATTATGAAAAGAAGACTTGGGAAAAACAAAGACAAATTCTCAAACCTACTTGTTTTAAGGGGTGGTGGTATCATGACTTTTTCTTAGTTTATTACTGTCAAAAACAGTGAGGGCCGTACTTATTTTGTCTTTTTAACTACATCTTTTTCTCCATTGCAATACAGGTAATTGAAGAGTTTGGGTCTTTTGAGATTTTTATTTGGAACTTTGTAAACCACAAGCCTATAGTGAGCCAGTTCAAGTATCCGCGCCAGGTACCTGTGAAATCTCCAAAAGCTGAAGTCGTAAGTAAAGACCTTGTAAGGAGAGGTTTCAGGAGTGTTGGACCAACAGTCATTTATACTTTCATGCAAGTGGCTGGCCTAACAAATGACCACCTTATAAGTTGCTTCAGATTCAAGGAGTGTACCTCCAGTGCAGAAGCATTGGGCAAAGAGAGCTCCCTAAACTCTAAGCTCAAAGAGAAGGCAAACAATGAGCCAACTGAGGTGGGTCTGTTACTGGCTGTCAACAAATTGAACTTCACCCCTAAATAGTCCTCCAATGTCTTTGATTAAAATGATCATATGGTGGTTAATCAAGTAGTTGTCAAGGGAGATGAGTAGATTGTGGAGTGTACAAAATCGATACATATGTGAATGAAATAGCCAGAAGGCAGGTAGTTGTATTTGGAAAGCAAAATGAGTAAATGACCTTTTTGGCAATTCTTCAAGTTCTTGTGTATTGAAGATATATTAAATAGTCCCCATCGCCTACCCTTCCCTTTATTTTTTTTATATTGTGGCCATGAATCGTTCCGTTTAGGTGTTTGGGTCTTTACCCTATTGATTGGGACCAGACCAGGCCCCTTTAGGTTTTTTATTCACTTTCCCACTTTGCTTTCTAAGTCTTCGCCGTCTTACCGTCAACTATGCCCCGGCATTACCTACTTGGTCGGTCATAAAGGTACACTGCTGGACTTTTTTGAACCAATGGTTGAACACTTCAGGTTTGTTTGTGATACCTATTACTCTCTACCCACTACCTAATTTCGGGAAATCGGACTTAAAATATTGGATTGGTAAGCTCAAGACATTAAGCCTGGGTCAAATGCATGGCTTGAAAATGAAGGGCAAAAGATTAATTCTTTTTCTGGTCAACAAAACACTGAATCTTGAAAGATTAAACTAGCTTTCACTAGGAAGTCTCAAAATCACATTTGAAATCCTTGTAACCCAAAATAATTCTTTACCATATTTTATTCAAATTTGAAATCCTCAGCTGGGTCATCCTAAAAGGCGTGGTTTTTGCTTTGTAGACTATTGTTTCAGCAGCATAACACCGGATAGAGAATTGCAAAATTATGCTAGATTGACGAGACAATAATTTGTTTTCAATGAACAATCATTCTCAATTGTGTGGCGAGCATAGACTGGACGAAAATTGTATTCAATTATCTTCTATAGAAAACTAATCAGTGTTGTTAGAATTATATGATCAATTTACACGAGTCTTAGATTTCAAATTCAATTATTAGGAATCACTATTAAAAAAATACCAATCATTCCAAAACTCTAATCATGCAGATTCCCTTTTTTATCATTCTTCCATGTTGAGTTACAAACCATCAGTTACAATACTTGATCGATGTATAAAGATAATTTCTGAAAACAAAATTCTAAAACTAGTATCCTGAGTCTGTACAGTTAAACATGAAGATACAAGGTTGGCTTGCCAGACATGAGTAGTGGAAGAATAAAGAGGAGAAATTAAAAATCCGTAAAGGTACACTGTATAAAATATCTTTCAGGAGAATGTTTGCTACAACCTACTCGGAGGTATCCTACATATATTGGCCAAAAAAAGGCTTCCCAAAGCGTGATGAGGCAAATGGGTGGTGCAGAGTTTGATTTTCTGTTGTTTAATCAGCTAACATACAATCCTTAGTGTAACTTTGTTTCCACTTGAAGGATCAAATATGTCCCAGCCTTCCATGTTGTATTTACATAGACAGATCCTTTGCTCTGAAGAATATTCTCTATTTTACGGAATATACTTTAACAATTGACACTAAATTAGCTATATTAACCAAATTTCCATTTAATTATTGTGCAACAATCTTCCTGAGATGGCAGCAACAAGTGCTGCTCTGAAATTAGGATCCGTGGTCAAAGAAGTTGCCATCTGTTCCACCAAAACCTGTTGTACTTTAGGTGAATCCACTTTTGGTTTCGTGCTCTTGGAATCGTTGCTGCCCTTAGATTTTGTTAAGTCAAGGGTAACAAGTGTTGGAGTGGAAGTGTTGAGAGATGCTGAACAAGGCACTGAAGCAAGGGTCACACTACGGCCAGAACGTGATGTTGCCTCCATCTGGGAAGAAGCCTGGGGATGGTTGTGCACCCCTTCATAAGTGGCCACCAGAACAGATTGATCATCCACACTTCTTTGCACCTGAATAACCAAAAAAAAAAGAAGCAAAGCCAACTTAGCTTAAGATCTAGTTCCCTATTAGCATGGGGAATAACCAGTTCCTACTTATATTTGGCTATATGTATTTACCTTCTTTTTGACAGGGCAACTTGGAGCAAAAGAGCATTTGAAATATGCTCTTGGACAAGGGTTATCTCTGGTCACCTTTTGCCCATATTTCCTCCACTGGTATCCATCTTTTACAATCTGAAACCACATACAATGAAAAACCTGTCAAACAGTTACTCCTAAATAGTCTATGCTTTTGCTATGCCAAATAACCCAAGAGTGAATGAATGGTACAGGAGGGTGTAAATAGTCTTACAAGGGTAGTGTCAGATGCTTCGGTCTTGACATAAACTCTTGAAATTTTTGCTTTGATGGTTTCTTCATTGGGTTTCTTGCAAGATTCTTCTTCATCAGTGGAGCTGCTCTCGGAGTTCCCATTGTTATTTCCCATCACACAAATACTATTGTTTTTTATGCTTTCAGACTTCCTTTTCTTTGATGTTGGGCTGGTCTCCTTCTCACCATTTTTGCTCATATATTCCATCAAATGGCTTCTCAAAGTGTTGTAGTTCTCACACACCACCGAGAGCATTTCAGCCAACTTCTTGTTTTCTGCCGTCACCCGCTTCAGTTCCTCCTCCAAGTCACTGGTAGACTGAAATGTCGCCAATAGCATCATCCATGTTAGAACCATTCATAGAACTTTAGCCTAAAGACACATCTTTGGCTCATGGAACATCATCAAAGAAATATGCACTTTCCAATTTGAAATCTGAGTCTTTTTTACTTCTGTTCTCTTTTCAAGTCCCATTTTTCCTTTTAATTGATAAATTTGACACTTTCTTGTTTTCAAAACTGTATAAATCTCAACAGAAAATAAATAAATAAATAAATAAGTATAAGGTCAGAGTTTTGTATATTGAAAATGTAAACATGTCCTCAAATTAACCATTCTAAAATATGGTAAAGGATCAGAAGGAAGTGAAGGAAGAAAGTAAATAATTAACTGGCTGAACTAACCTCTTCTTCCACGTTATACTTGGGTGGCATTCCCAGCGAGAAAGGCTTGCTTTCTATCTCCTTCTGAAATGAACACACGACAATGAATGAATCACTCCCATATATATTCTGAATGAAAGCATTTCCCATAAGAGCTTCTTCTGGGAATGGTCCCAAGAAGAATGACATATATTATTTATATATATTTATATATTTACTTACGGGAACTTCTTCATGAACTCTGCGTGGATTAATGTTGAGGTCCAAGGAAGTGTTAATCCATGATGAACAATCCATCTCCAACAAAACTCAAACAAGTAGCAAAAGGTGTTGCTCAAATCTAAACCAACCCCACTTGGTGTTTTTTTTTTTTTGGTTTCTAAGATAAAGGGGCGAAAGTTTCAGAAAGTGGAAGGAAGATAAAGCATATATATAGAGTAGGTAGCGAAGGCAGCACTATAGGAAGGAACTCAAGTTGAGGAAGGAAACTGAGTGGAAACAGACACATGCGAAATAATAACCCACTAGCTTGATTAAAGATCTGGCATGCACGAACATTAAATTGACCATGAAGCTGTTCTGTTCCTGGTCCTGTTTTTTCTTCTTATTATTATTATTATTATTTATTTCTTTGTTCCTGTTTTTAACACATAGTGAAAAGTACTAGAAGTAGAAGAGATAAGATGAAGGTGTGGATCCATGTGTTGTTTTTAAATTAAATGATTAAATAAAAGAAAAAAAGGTGGGGCAGGAATATTATATACATGACAACGGTGGATTCTTAACCATACAATAAAAATCAAATTTTCAAGTCAAACCACACCTCTTCATCAAATGAATTAATAATATAAATTGTGGGTTCAAGTGGGATCATATGGCACCTGGACAACATTTCGGTGTTACTCAGTGTAATAAGAGCCAATTTTCACACATTTCTTTTTACCTTGCGTGTGGAACGTTAAAAGCATAACTGATTTCGGTGGGTTAACTATACATAAAACGAAGAGTAAAATAGTGGGGGTTCTCTGTATGTGGCCCCCTTCTTTCTTCTTTTCACTTTATCCATTTCAAACATTTTCCACGTTTCTTCTATTATTAAACTATTCATCTTTCCCATTTTCTAAGACCACCCAAGTTTTTATTATTTAAATTGTGTGTTTTACCTTTTGTGGTATGAAAATTTGAACTTTCGACTTACAAAAATTACGCAAAATTCTACGGTTGATCGATTCCAATAGGTTAAATTCTAAGTCTTTTTTTAACATATGAATTATATGCCAATTTTTTGTTTGAGTAATTAGGTGCAACGGCTTTAGACAATTATCTCTGGTAGAAAAAAGAGAAGGTAGTAGTAGAATGTGAATTTTCTTCTCTTTTCCCTCGTAAAAGGATAAGGTGTCAAAAAGTAGAAACCACAGCGTCTAAATCAAACTGATTTTGTTTAAAAGCAAAATGATAGGTTGTGAACGAGAGGATAAACATCAACATGTTTTAACGTGACAAATGTTTTAAGAATGGAAGGGTTTGAAGAACGGATTGATGGAGGAATTAGAATGTTCTATTTAAGTAAAGAGAGTACGGAATTTATATGATAATATTTTTAAGATTAATTTTTATAAGGTATTATAAGTTTTAAAATTTAATTGGTCATAATTTTATTTTTAAAAAGTGTTTCTATAAATTAAGAAAGGAGATATATATAAATTATCTTTAAATTTAATTTTAAAACTTACCAAAATAGAATGGATGATGATTTTTCGTAATACATTTATGAGAGTTTGAAACTTAATATTTAAGGAACAAGTTATTAGACTTTCGTGACTTCTTATAATCAGTATAATACTATATTTAAATTTTAGATTGCACTGGTTAATTATTTTTTACAATTTCTTATTTTAAAATATTTATAAGTTATTTATTTTTTAAATTTATTATATTAATAAATATTTATGAAAAAATATTTAATCAAATAATTATTATTGAATTAATATAAAATAATATAAATATTAACTATTAATTATTTAAAACTACTAATCATTTAAAATATAATTATTTAATTAAAATAAAAAATTTAATATGATATTTAGAGTTTATTTAATTTGGCTTTATTTTATAGTTTTTAAAAATATCTTTAGAGATCAAATAAAAAGAACTGTTTTTGAAAATAAGTTAGAAAAAAAAAATATTTGATAACTCTATTTTAGTTGTAAAAGGGTAAGAGACAGAGATGGTCATAAAAAGTTGCGAGGAAAGTTGGAAAAAGAATTTGATAATTTGATAATAATAAAAATGAGTGATTTAATATGATTATTAGGTAAATCATTGATATTTATTAGTGAAAACAGAAAATTATAACAAAAATATATATTTTATTAGATTTGATTTTTTATTTTATTTTTAGTTTTTAAAAACTAAAACCAAGAATTGTTTTAGCAAAATAGTTTCAAAACCAGTGTGTTAGTTTTTAAAAATGGAAATTTAAGTAGAGCGTTTAAGAGCCGTCACATAACATTGAGAGTTAAGAGAGAATAATTTGATAAAAATGTGTTTTGCAAAGTAATATTAGACAAGTGTCTGATTTTGAAAAACAAAATGAATTATCCTGTGGAAAAGGTTGATAGAATAAAAAGAGTAAAAAGTGAGAAACGTAATAGAAAAGTGTGAGACCCAGTGATGGACCATGCCAGCTATTGAGGCAATTAGTCAATCCACTGAATTGAAACCAGAAAACCAAAAACCACAAATTTCCTGCGGCTGGTTCATATACATGGAGGGGTTTTCTTCTCCCATGTCCACGTCCATTTAATTACAGCACCCATTTCTAGACAATTACTTACTCCTTTGAATTCAAATGTCTGGTTTACTTCTTCTCCACACACATGCTCTTGAAAACACAATTGGATTGCCTCAACTTCAACCGCAAGCTGTTGCTTCATTCTGTGAAACTTCAAGATAAACTATTGAGTGCTACGGCATTGCTCTTTTAGATATCAATTTTCGCTTAATTTACAATTGAATATTACAAACCCAAAAGTATTTTATTTAACTACTTAATTCAAATAAGGTTTTTATTTTGTGTATATACTATCATTTTACTCTATTTTTAATTGAATTTTTTTATTATATTAGAATTATCACATTTTAAAATGAATCTTATATAATATGAATTAGAAAGGAATAAGTATCTATCTCAATCTTTTAAAATTAGTTTTGAAGATAAAGTTTAAAGTTAGGTTAAAAGGTTATAAATAAAAAATAATTAATCATTCAAATTCATTTTTACTATAAAAGGCATTATATTAGAGACATTATAATAAAGGTGATAGAAACTAATTATTTTTTAATTTTCATAATACTCTCAACTAAAAAAATATGAATTATAAATATGACTTCGTCATGATTGTGTGTTAATTCTAATTGAGTTTTGAATATGAATTGATAATTGATTTATTTAAGATTGAAATGATAACATTTTGTTTGGTTGTATTCAACTTCGATTAAATTTTATGAATTGATTTGTAATTGAGAGGACAGTGTTTAGATTTAGTATAATTTAAAACTTTGGGTATTAAGATAAGTTACACAATTTTGATACTATCGTATATCTGTTCAACGAAATTAATTTTGCTCAACGAATTTAAACAATGCTAAAAATACTTAAATTTTTCTTAATGCTTTTAAATCTGTTCGACGAATTTTTGATACTGATAAAGGGTTAATCATATGAAAAGTTTGCTTCGCATAGTATCATTTAGCTCAGCGAAAATTTACAAATTAAAAGTGACTCCATAATTCAAATAATTGTTTTAATTTTATTCAATTGTGTTCATAAAAGAAATATTGAAAAAATATTTTAGAATAATAATGATTTTAAAAGGTGTCTCTTTAATCAAATAAATTTAATTATTATATATTATTATACTTAGAAAGTAGTGATTAGAGCATGTTTTTTTTTAATTATATTAAGAATGAAATGTGCATGTGTATTCTTTGGTGAAATTATAATTATTAAAGGGAATTCTTGTATACGTGTGATGTAATATGTATAAATATTCAATTTGAGATTAATAAAATATGATATTGACTTTATTTATAACTTAATCAGGGTTCAAATAGTGAAAATTAAAAGAAGTTTTTGTGACTTAGTACTTAACATATTATAGGAATTTGGTATGATCACATGAGAGGGTTTAACATCGTTAAGAGTATCATAATGTTAAATATTAAAAAAAAAGGTATAATGTGATATATATATATATATATATATATATATATATATATATATATATATATATATAATCTTAGAATCTAATTTAATGTCAAGTTTTTCAAATATTATCTTTTCACATGAATTTGATGTGATGTTGTGTGATATAAATTGATACAATTTATTAACTTTGAAATTGAACTTATGTAGCATTAATATATGTTAAAATTAATGTATTTATTGTCTTATAATCCATTCAAATTTTGAAATATTTATTTTAAACTTTGAAATTAAATTTATGTAGTATTAATATATTATGAAAATATTTGTGTTTGTTGTCTTATAATAAATTCAAATTTTGAAATATTTATTTTTGAATCAGTTGTTTATCTGTATGATTTGTACGATGTTTTAAATGTGACGATAACATGTATTTACATAAAAGTATATGAGGTAAGTATTAGGTGTTACCGGAGTAGACATAAAGCAAATAAAACATTTTATATATATATAATTAGGTAGAAGAAATTTATATTTTTAAATATTTGAATTTTATATATGTTCTTACCAAGATATACAATAAAGAATAAATTCATAGTTAGGCTTGACAATAAATCTCTAGAATATACTGGACCAGTTCTGTTTTACTCTAAATATAAATATTATAATAAAAAAATGAATATTACCGTATTTGTAAATAAATAAAATAGTTTAATTTAAAATATTCTTATTAATATTATTTTAAATAATGATTTATACTGATTTAATATTAATGATTGTATTTTTAATATGATATTATATATAATAGGATAATTTATTGTATTTATTATATATTGTTATCATAATATTATTAATATCAAGAATATTTTTATTAAATAAATATAATTATTTAAGAATTTAGATAGGTAAATATATATTTAAGAGGTGACATACATCCCTAATAAACTTTTTACATGATATAATAATTAAATATTAAAGTTTTTATAAATTAAATTTACATATACAGATGGAGTTTATAATAGGCTCTTGTCCAGTATACTAATAATTTAGATTGAATGCTTGACCATACTCCTGACAATAACTGGTGGGTTTGTCTTTGACTTCTTTCTTGGTTTGGTTTGGATCACATACACAGATTTGACTGCTGTACCCAACCAAATACATGGATGGAGAGAGCGTGTGTGTGGAGCATTTTCGTTTTGAATTGAAGGGGGAAAAAGCTAAAATGAAAAGTACTCAAACAATGGGAAGAAGCAAGGAAGAATCACACATTATTTGACTTCGGAACGACTTCCTAGATTCATGTCTGACTTCGTCAATTTATGTCGGCTCTTCATTCATTCCCTCAAAATGCATTTCCTCTAACTTTCTTCTCTTCTCGTACACAAAGGACAAACTTTCAACAATTAAAAAATAGATTAAGGGTGGACAAACTCAAAATAAATTGGAACAAATGCCACTTAAAAAACTTTAATAATAAAAGAAACAAAATCGAAGATCCATTGTTCATGTCGTCAAATTTTGTTTCTTTATCGTCTTCATCAATTAGAAGACACGTCAATGTGATTTTGTCATACACAACTGTTAAGAAAGATTATGTAATGTTATAATTTAAGATGCACGTCACTGTATACATACATATTATTAGCAAAGTTACCTATCAAATTATCAGATGTTATAGGCTAGTTTTCATTTTTCACATTTTGCAGTGCTTTGAAACCAAAAACAGTGACCAAGTTGAAGAAGAAAAATCCCCATGATGGCATGCATGAGATAAGCATATTCAACGCAGTGCTTGTTCATACAAGTCACCACTTCTTGTCGGCTTCTCTTTCTTCTGTCAAATTCTCTTCTATTCCATTCCATTCTTATCTTTTCGACAAGGTGACCTAGTCATGTTATGTTACTCACCACAATATGTAACATCACTGTGTATTATTCCAGATAAACTATTTGATACATGATAGTTGGTGTGTTAAGTTTTTAATCATGATATTTGATACATGGATACAAATACCAATAATGAGCTTAGCCAAGAAAAAACAAGAGAATAGTCGAAATGCTTTTGTATGTCAATCAGTTGAATATAGAGAGGAAACACAGAAGAATTGAAATTTATCTTGTTCTCTCCATAAATATTCTGTGTAAACTTTTATTTTGTAAGTTGTCGTCATAGTAAAAGATTAAACATTTTTTTCTAGTTTAAATAAATAATTAGTGCCGATAAAGGAACAGAAAAAGGTGGACCCATGAGGTACCTGAACCAAATACTGTAATAGAATTTTATTTATACGCACGTGCATTTCAACGCTGAAGTCACACGGTCTATATTCACCTGCAGTTCACACCTCTTCCAAGTCTTTAAATATATATATATATATATATATATATATATATATATATATATATATATATATATATATATATATATATGAAAACAAGATAATCATGTAAATTTTTCTTTTTCTATGAACAGAAACAAAACAATGATAAATTAAGACTTTTGTTGAATTTCTTAATTTTTTTAACCTTCAATAATTTATTTTATAATTCAATTACTCCTCCAACAAACATTTCTTTTGCAATTTAAATTGTTGATTCAGCTGCACATATGTATTTAAAAAAAAAAAAATTATGTCGAAGAAATCACATGTTTCTCGTACCTTCAACAAGGAGAAGACTGAGCTACCTTAACTTTTATTGGTTCAATCAATTGGTCAACTGAAAATTTATCTGGATTTATTTGAGTTTTATTATGCGTTGATCTTTGAAGAGATTTAAAAGAGAAAGAGAACATTAAGACATTAAACAATTTACGGATTATAATCCACTAAATCTTAAAATATTATTTTATAGGTTTTTTTTTATATATCAGCTTTCTCGAATTTTTGTTTTTAAATTATATATTCTTTCACGCGCATTTCTCTACTTTTAGAAACAAATCGATACTCTTTAATTTAATTTAATTATATTTTGTAGTGAAATGGTCAAAGTCCACCAACACGACAGTTAAACAATTGTCTCACGTTTTCTTCATGTGTGGATAAGGTCCATGTAGATGTCCATTGCAAATTATTAAAGTTACAAAAATTATTGGTGGACACTTCTATTCTAAATGGGCCGTGTTTTAAATTTGCCCTATAAGAAAGCCCAATAAAATTACAGGCCTGAAAGAACACAAAAAAGAAGCGTCATAAGGAATAGTTGAAAGCCCATTTTGTGAACCCAAAAAACAAAACTATTGGATCCAACGCGCGCGCGCACACACACTTAACACTCTCTCTCTTGATCATTCTCTTTGCTCTCGATCTCTATCGCCAACTTCCTTCCCTGTCGGACAGGTAAATCACAGGTTATATCTTCAATTCATATTTTCCTGATTCATTTTCTCCGATCGCGCTTATTCTAACGCGAATTGTTGGGCGTGGTGATCGATCAGATCTTGTGTTCGTTGAAAGGCAAGATGTCGGGGCAAACGCAGCGTCTGAACGTGGTCCCCACCGTGACGATGCTGGGAGTGGTGAAGGCGCGTCTGGTGGGAGCAACGCGTGGCCACGCGCTCCTGAAGAAGAAGAGCGACGCGCTCACGGTGCAGTTCCGCCAGATCCTGAAGAAGATCGTGTCCACCAAGGAGTCCATGGGCGACATCATGAAGACCTCGTCGTTCGCGCTCACCGAGGCCAAGTATGTCGCCGGCGACAACATCAAGCACGTCGTCCTCGAGAACGTCCGGGAAGCCTCCCTCCGCGTTCGCTCGCGCCAGGAGAACGTCGCCGGCGTCAAGCTCCCCAAGTTCGAGTACACCTCCGACGCCGACGCCACCAAGAGCGACCTCACCGGACTAGCCCGCGGAGGCCAGCAGGTGCAGCAGTGCCGCGCCGCCTACATCAAGGCCATCGAGGTTCTCGTCGAGCTCGCCTCGCTTCAGACCTCGTTTCTCACTCTCGATGAGGCCATCAAGACCACGAATCGTAGGGTTAATGCTCTTGAGAATGTGGTGAAGCCGCGGCTGGAAAATACGATTAGTTACATCAAGGGGGAGTTGGACGAGCTCGAGAGGGAGGATTTCTTCAGGCTGAAGAAGATTCAGGGGTATAAGAAGAGGGAGATTGAGAAACAGATGCTGTTGCAGAAAGTTGAGACTAATCTCCCTTTGCGCAAAGGGGTTTCGTACAATGCCTCTCAAAATTTGTTGTCTGTGGGTGAGAAAGATGAGGATATTATTTTCTGAATGTGGTTCCGCGTGTTGCTGCTGCTGCTTCTTTCTTCTGGGTGAGACTTCTCTACTATTGTTTAGGTCACAGTTTTCTGTATCATGAATAAAGGTCCTTAGTATATGTTTATTTATTTCTTTCTTCATTAAATTGAGACATCATCGTTTTAAAGTATGGTTCTTATCATCCGTTCTCATGGAATCTTTTTGAAGTTGCTGTGATTAGCTGTAATTTCGTTTCGAAATATATTACTTCTCAATAGAGTTATGCGAACTGTGGAAAGGCATATTTAAAGTTACCATTTGCTTGTAACAGAATTGTTATTATTTTAGCTTATCGGTTGCATTTCAGTTATATCTGTACATCAGTGATGACGGCAGATGTTTTTATTTTTGGATTGGATGAAGAATAGGATTTAACGCTATGGTCTTTGGAATATGAAACCCTTTGGTTTTGTTCTCAGGGCTTTAGATAATTTGTTTATTGAGTCTTGTTTTGTTTGATTAAAGAAAGCTAATGTAATACCTCTTTCTAAATTAGGAAATAGATTGGTTAAAAATGAAACCTCTCTTCAATCAACTTTTGTCGAGTTGAATCAAAGCCCAAGTACATAGGCTAAATGTAGCTGAGTGAAAATTGAAATAACTTAACTAGTGATAGTTAATCTATCTATGATATATACTCTGCCTGGAGTACAGAGCGTAGATATATACCGTGTCCAACATGGACCGTGAAGGCCTGAAATTTCAGCTGGAAGGGGTTTGGTAGCAAGATCTGCCAATTCAAGCTGAGATTTCATGTGAAGTAGTTTAAGAAAGCTATAGACAACATGCTCCTAGATAAAATGTGAGTTCATGTCTACTTGTTCAGATTTCTCATGATGTCCTGGATTTGATGCATTGTTGATTGACTGTCACAAAACACTGTTACTCTAGGGGTCGGCTAGGAAGGCAGAATCCCATGGTAGATCTGCTGTTTGTGGGATGGTTTCCATTAGCATCACCAAATGATGTGAGTTTGAGATCCTATTGAATTGCCAATAGTCCTTGGCTTGGACATGATGGACAGCCTTAATTTAACTGTATCTTGGAGCAGACTTAAGCTCACTAAGTTTATTGACTGCATATGTCAGGTTTGGGTTGTTAAGTTCATTAAACGACCAATCAATTGTCTGTATCAATGATGAATCTTCCAATAGATCATCAGCAGTTTCGTTTAATTGGAGATTGTGATCTATAGCAGAGAAAGCGGTTTGGCCCGAAGGACACCTGCATCTTCCAGTAGAGAAAGGGTGTGAATCAGCTTGGAGAAATGCCTTTGCCAAACTCTAGTCCTGAAAGTGTTTTAGGTCCCCAATAGCCTTAAGCTTGAACAGATTTTGGAGTAAATGCTGAATCTGTGTCAGCTTCTCTTCATTTGGGCCGGGTAGGATAATGTTTATGTCTTTGACAATTTGAGGTAAGCTAGGAAAACCACCTTCAAGTGGACGCCCAAATGAGTTTTATTTACCGATTTGGTGCAATTTTGTGTGCTTACCAATTTGGTGCAAAGTTTCAAAAAATGACGGGTGCTAGGTGATACGACTTTGTTATACACAAATTGTAGCACAACTTTAGTCCTCAATTATTTTATTTTATTTTTATATAAAAGTCATCCTTGATAGTATGACTCATGTTTTTCTTTTTAAATAGCAAAGTTGAACTATTAAGCATGACTCATTTTTTTTAATATGATTTTTTTTTAATTATTAAATTTATAAGTATAAAAATAAAAATATATAGGAGTAATTAATAAAAGGACATACATTAATATTAATAAAAATAAAAATATGTTTAAAAGTAACCTGATACAAATTTAGTGTTTCCACAAATGGTCTTTTTTTTTTTCTTTCGTTTTGTTGAGGGACATGTCTTTTTTGTGTTTCTGTATCATTATTATCATGTTCTTTCTCTTGAATTGGATTCGGTAGTGTAGACATTGTTGATAAATAATAATCATGTTTTTGTTGACAAATATTTTTGCAACCTCTTCTATGACTTCACAATGAATCCATGGATTATTGTTGGTCAAGAATGTTCATATTTCCACATCCTCTCAAGAAGAGGAACATGATGATAGTGATATAGAATACAACAAAGACATACCTCCTAATAAAATGAAAGACCTAAATAGAACAAAAGAAGATCATCTTATAGAACAAACTCTAGGTATTAAAATTTTCAACTTATCTTTTATTATATTACTTTTAAATATGTTATTATTTTTATTAATATTAATGTGTGTCATTTTATTAATTCCTCTTATATATTTTTCTTCTTATAAATTTAATAATTAAAAAAAGTAATAATTTTCGTATTAAAAGAAAATACAAGAGTTGTGTTTGATAGTACGGTTTTGTTATTTAAAAAAAAAAACACAAGTGTTGTGCGACCAAGACGATTTTCATATACAAAAATAATGGAGGATAAAAGTCATGCTAGTATCACAATTTGTTTATAACAAAGTCTTATCACCTAGTTAGATTTATTCATATATGTAATTTTTAAAAATTTACACCAAATTGGTAATTGACACATAAAATTGCACCAAATTGGTAAATAAACCCCCAAACAAATGATATCCAATTGTAATATGGACCATTTTGGACATCTGCATCAGAAAGTAACACTGACTGTTGTACGATTTGCAACCGGAGAAAGTGGCTAGAAAATCTATCTTCTGGTTTGTGGAAACATGAAAACGGAATAATGGTTCCATGTTGGACGATCTCATGGATTTGCTGAATATTCAAACTGTGACTGCATCAATCGGACGAAATTCATGATTAATATTGTAGCTTCTGATTTCTTTTGCATCAAGTCCATGTGAAAGAGTGAGGAGGTGGTATGGCTCATAGTTTTGCTAGGAAATGAATGATTGTTTGCGAAAGAGATGGAGAAGTGTTTTGGTTCGACTATTGAAGTTTTGGATTCAAGTTCAAATGTGAAAGTTAGAAAGTAACAAAAATAACTTTAGCTTGGATGTAGATCATATATCTGGATTTGATTATATTCGACGTGCGAAATCGAATGTGCACGCACTTTGTTTAGATAGAGGCTCAATCTTTTGTGCCAGAAAGAGACTATGTTAGACATAGAAACCGGAAAGTTTTACTGTGTTGGATGTCACTAAGCCTAAAACATGTTTGCATGTATATGTAGCAACAAGCTTTGACGTCTAAATTCTATGTTCTCAGCTAATTCTTCCCAATCGTCCTCAGCAAATGAACAGTTCTAGAATCATGGATGGAAAATTATGTTAATATTTCTGATAAATTGGTATATGTTGGGAATCTCTGTCCCTCTCCCCATATAAGAACTCTTGATTATTGTGAATAATAAAAATAAAATTGTTTTAAAAGGCGAATTTCAAACCTATTTTTCTCTGATCAGTTATTTGCATTGATATTCGTACTGCAGTTCTCGATTTTAGTTTTCGGTATTCAGCTTTCATTTCCGGTATTAGGCTTTCGTTTCCGGTACTCGGCTTTTGTGGTAGAAATTCCGATCACTAATAAGTGTAATCGGTGGTTTATATTTAGATAGACTTAAAACATTGTCTTGTGTGTTTGTAATATTTATGTATGACTAGCTGGGTGACTGTGTTCGAGTGAGGTAAGAACAGATATTAGGGTTAGCGTTGTGCATGCGTGTCGCGTTGACATGGTTGTGGTTTTCAAATCTCTTGTAAACAGAAACTGCCAATGCCCATAGGAATTCCTCTGCAGTGCAATGCAAGTGGGAAAATCCCTAAAATCATCCATTTATTTTATATATTCTTTCCATGCCAATAAAAAATGAGATCAAAAGATAAAATTAAATATTTGTAAAAAAATTAAACAGAGATAAAATAAGTAACTTTAGTATTTAAAAAAAAAATATTTTATCTATACAATAATAATATTTTAAAAAAGGAAACAACTTAGATTAATTTGCTCAAAAATAAATTTTAACAAAACACTTTATCAATGAAATATGATTTGATGTCTTTAACAAGTAACTCAATGAATTAACTCATTTTTCAACCAACCTTTAATTTATCACGGATTATAATATATTAAAGTACTTATTCAGATAACACCATCCCATCATCATATATGAACATTTTATAGTATTTATAAATAAGATAGAATAACTAATCTATAAAAAACCTGTTAATATAATATATTCTTACTAATTTGAGTGTTACAGTATCTTTTTATGTACCATCATTATCAAGAACTACAAATCCAAATTTCTCAAAGAGGTTTATAACCTTAGTCTTATAAAAATATATTATAAGCATCTACCAATAATATAAAACTTAATCATATATGATTACAAATTGGTTATAGATACATCCTTTTTATTTCATTTTTCCACTCTAAATTTTGATCTTTAAAATCCATATTTAATGTGTTTGAGATATAATTATAATTTGTAATTTTGCACTGAAACTTTTGAACAAATAAAACGTTACTTTCTTACAGTAAATGGTTAGATTAAATTTAAACAACGATATCTATTTTATTACAGAAAATGGTTAGATTAAATGGAGATTTTGCACTAAACAACTTCCATATATTTATTACAAAATAATAAAAAATTATTATATTTGTTATTAGTTGGTATAGAAAAATCTTTAATGATGTTTAAACATAGTTAATGACATATATAAGATCTTAAATTAGTGAGAAGAATTTATTTTTTTTAAATAAGATGGTATATTTATATATTTTCAACTGAATAAGATCTATTATAAAATAAGAACTAATAAGTTTAAATATATAAGATTAAAGAATAAAATAAAAAATTTTAAAACACTTAATAATAATTTTATAATTATATATATGACAACAGTTAGAATTGAATTTTTTCCTAAACTTATATATTTTATCACCATTTATTACATCTTATAATGATTTTTTTCTATCTTAATTATTTAATTTGAAGTATGAGCTGGTATATAAATATGTACGAGTTATAATAACAAAGAGTGAGATAATGATAAAACGTGTATCGCGAAGGAAATCAATGTTTGGTGGTTTTGTATTTTATATGATTAAAAACAGAGTTTACATAATATCTTTTATCTTAAAAAAAAACATTTTAATAATCATTTTTTAATTTAAAAATTAAAATATAAATAAAAAATATGAAAAAAAGGATTTTACATTGGTTTATGCCTCATTATTAGCTGTAATCGACTCAGGCACACGTCGGCAGGGTGGGTCCCACGCTTCCCACTTTCATTCCGTCGCCATTTCATTTGCATTTATTTAGCAAACCATTAATTAACCATTTAATATGTTTAATTAATCATCTGCCACCAGATTAACACTGTCTTAATTCTATGTTTCAGAATAATTTTTTTCAAGAAAAAAACAAAAATTCATTCATGCAACTTGTGTTTAATACGTAAAATAATATTTTAAGATATATAATGAATGGACTTAATTGTGAAATAAAATACTACTGTATATTTTAGAATGAAAAGCTATTTTTCTTACGTTTAAAATAAGGTACAACTCTTATTATCAAAATTGATTAAAAAGTAACGTGGTATTTAAAAATTTGTTCAAAAATAGATAAGAGTTATTGAATTTTTTTGTAATTATCAAAACTGGATGAGATAGATTGGTTTAATTGGAATTTCGTTTAGTCTGATGTAATATTTTTAAATAATTGTTTTTAGTTAAAACAGGTTTTAAATTAGAAAATTCGGAAAAAAATTACGATTTTAAGGTGATGTAGTTTGTGAAAGATATGTTTTTTTTTTTACACAACTTGGTTTGGTTTTGGATGTTAATATTTTTACTCCAAACAGAAAATGGAAAACGTGTTTTAATCATTTTCCGCACCTTATCTTTTGTTTTTTTCCAATGGTGCTCCTTTAATATATGGTTGAATTTAAATATTATATTATTGTATTAAAAAATTTATATTTTATTGAAATATCTCAATTAAATATTTAAACTTTAAATTCAAAATTTTACCTATTAAATAACAGAAAGAATTATGTTGGTATTTTGTTACAGATAAAAAAACTGAAGAGATAATTAGAGTAATGGAAGAGAAAGAGGAGAAGAAAACCTAACGGCGGAATTAGAAAACAATGGCCCAATTGGGTTGGATTCCCACGTCACATCCACCTCCTCCACCCTTCAAACCCAACTCATCTTCATCCAAATTCCCCATATTTATGACCTTCTCCGGATAATTCCTCTTCTCTCATCTCTCTGTTCCCAACCCAACACTTTTCTTTTTGGCTTCATCCATTCTAGACATCTGATACAACCCATTCCTCTTTCCTCTATTTCATCTTTTCAAAGTTACAACCCCTTCTAAATTCTTCATCCCACCCTTATCCTCTTCCTTCTGGTATCATCACACAACAGTTCTGCATCACGTTTCATCTACCAGTCCACTACTTTTTTATTGTATATCTCTTCTTATTCATCATACATGCACCATGAAGATTTTCAACCCTTCTGAATGTTTTCTGCGGAACGTGGTATGTCCGTCGGACACCATATTCCTGAAAAACAGTAATCTTTCCCATCTGGGTGCTTCCCATCTCTACCAATTCAGAATGGCCATTCTCTCCTGGCCCAATTAGTTACACTCTGATCAACACACGTTCCCACTTCTCCCCCCATTCCTCCCATGGATTCGCAAAACGAAAATGCTCAAGGTAACCCCAGAAACATAATCTTCGACAAATACGAGATGGGGCGGGTGCTCGGGCAGGGAAACTTTGCCAAGGTCTACCATGGCAGAAACCTCGCCACCAACGAGAACGTCGCGATCAAAGTCATAAAGAAAGAGAAGCTGAAAAAAGAGCGACTCGTGAAGCAGATCAAGCGCGAGGTTTCGGTGATGAAACTGGTGCGGCATCCCCACATCGTTGAACTCAAGGAAGTGATGGCCACCAAGGGAAAAATCTTCCTCGTCATGGAATACGTCAGGGGCGGCGAACTCTTCACCAAAGTCAACAAAGGTAAACTCTCCGAAGACCTCGCCAGAAAATACTTCCAACAACTCATCAGCGCCGTCGACTACTGCCACAGCCGCGGCGTCACCCACCGCGACCTCAAGCCGGAGAATCTCCTTTTGGACCAGAACGAGGACCTCAAAGTCTCCGACTTCGGACTCTCCGCGCTGCCGGAGCAGCGCCGCGCCGACGGCATGCTCGTAACCCCGTGTGGGACCCCTGCTTACGTGGCACCCGAAGTTCTGAAGAAAAAAGGTTACGACGGGTCAAAGGCTGATATCTGGTCCTGTGGGGTAATTCTCTACGCTTTGCTCTGTGGCTATTTACCCTTCCAAGGTGAGAACGTTATGAGAATTTATCGAAAAGCGTTTAGAGCTCAATATGAATTACCCGAATGGATTTCGCCGGAGGCCGAAAATCTCATTTCGAATCTCCTTGTTGCCGATCCTGCAAAGAGGTATTCCATTCCCGATATAATGAAGGACCCCTGGTTTCAATTTGGGTTCATGAGGCCCATTGCGTTTTCAATTAAGGAGTCCGAGGTAGAAGGAAACATTGATTTCGACGATGTCGGGAACAACGAGGATGTGGTTGCAATGAGGAAACCCGCGAGGCCGTTTTACAATGCGTTTGAGATAATCTCGTCCTTGTCGCACGGGTTTGATCTCAGGAGCTTGTTTGAGACGAGGAAGCGGTCGCCGTCGATGTTTATTTGTAAATTTTCGGCTTCGGCGGTGATGGCGAAGGTGGAGGCTACGGCGAAGAAGCTGAATTTTCGAGTTACGGGGAAGAAGGAGTTTGCGGTGAGGATGCAGGGGGAGGAGGAGGGGAGGAAGGGGAAGTTGGCGATGACGGTGGAGGTTTTTGAGGTGGCGCCGGAGGTGGCGGTGGTTGAGTTTTCCAAATCTGCCGGAGACACGTTGGAGTATGTTAAATTCTGCGAGGAGCAAGTGAGACCATCACTCCAAGACATTGTCTGGAGCTGGCAGGGTGATAGTAATAACTCCTCCAGCAATTAGTATTTGTTTTATCTGATACACACAATCTGGTTTGAATTGCAGAGTTTGGTTTCAGAGTATGTACGTTACTTTTGGAGTTTGTGATGGTGATATTGAAGTAAAACAGTAACAAAATTGCAAATTTCATCCCGCAAATTGTGGAAAAGTAATAGCATGGGGATTCACTTCGAAGTTTTGGTTTTGATTGGAGCTTGTGTTCGCTTTCTTCAATATTACAGACAGAACATGACAAAGTTGGTGTCTGTTGGGTCCCTGTTGTGTAATAAAAAGTGTGATATGATTGATGATAGATGGGTAATGGGGATGTCAAAACGGTTCGCATCCGGCGGGTCGAGGCGGGAGGTGTTTTCAGCTTATTAGGATAAATTCGGCATATGTAATAAAAAAATAATTTTTTATTATAATAAAATTAATTATAAAAATAATATATAAAATTATAAATTAAAAAAAGAGAATTAAAAAAGGGTGAATCTTTTTACTGAATCACAAATTTTTATCTGCAGATTATTTTTATCTTGCAGGAATTACTTCATTCTTCTTGTTTATTTTTAAGTATTAATTATTTTTATATTATTTAACAAAAAATAATGTAAAATTTTATCAAATAAAAAAATATAGATATTTAAATTTTTTAATATAAAAAATATTAGTTTTATAAGTTTATAAAATATTAGTTTTATAAATTTTAATGTTATATATATATATATATATATATATATTATTTGTTATTATTTATTATTATGTAAATTTTATTATTATTTTAAATTATAATTTCTTAAAATAATGTATTGATTTATATTATTAAATTAAAATTATATATATATATATATTAAATTATTGATAAATAAATAATAATTTTATTATTAAATTTATTGAAAATTTTGATTTTTAAAAATAAATTATTTTTTTCTAAATTATGGTGGACCAAGTAAGTGAGTCCCTTTTTGTGCAAGTGATCAGTCATGACTATAACTGGTCAGTCCGTCCTGCTTCATTTTTATGGGCTAAAGGCTAAACGGACAAAATCAGGATGGACTAAGCTGTTTTACCATTTAGAAATATTAACATTTATTTATCAAATTATCTCATTTATTTCTTAAATATTTATTTTTTGTTTAATTTAAATTAATAGATGCGTTTTCAAATTTATTATTACTGGTTTTCAAATTATTATAATAATAAATTAAAAAAATAATGATTATAATACAAAAATTATATTAAATATACTTTTTTATTCAAATTTTATCATTTTCATTCATTCTTATAATTTTGAGTGTTTTTAAAAATTTGTAAAATTATTTCAAAATTACAAGTGTATTGTAACGTGTCTTACAACAATTTTTTGAAAATAATCTAATTTCTAAACGTTGTGTTGAAAAAATGATGATAAGTTCTTGTATTAGATTATAAATTGCTGAATGATACCAAACAGAAAAACACACAAGGTACATCGTGGTACATATTACATAATTTCCTTTTTCTTCACATATCATCTACCTAAGATATTTTGATTCTACTTACCAATTTTAGACAATTTTTAAAATTTTAAAAGAATATTTTAAATTGAATACTGTGTTAGTTGGTGATAATTTTCAGATTTCACATTTGAATCAATGATTATGATTTTTAAGTTTCTGAAAGGGTAAGAAGTTATGACCATAAGGTCGGAAAAGAGTAATATGCAAGACATAGATAATAACAGTTGGATTGGATTTTGTGTGGGTTAATCATTGTCATTTGTCATCATAGTTTAGCATGGTTTTTACCCTTTTGCAGTTGTGTCCCCTGGTGTACAAGTTTTAACCTGAAACAAACAAAAAATAGAGAATGGTAAAGATCCCTTTTCAATCTATTTTATCCATCTTCTGTGGTGCCAATAGAACACCTCGAGAAGGACATTGAATTTTTTTCTCTTTATTTTTATTAAGATATGAGGAGTGTTGCAGGGTGATACATTGGAAGCTGTCCCTTTTGAGCAAAGGCTGGCGAAGGAACAGTGTTTGAAGAATGAGCACAAAAAAACAGTACCAAGGCTGTTGCATGGGCCTCCACAGCATAGAACGTACCATCAGCTGACTCAGATCACACTCAGATTTTTGCCAAAATGAGGCTCCAAATGCCCCTTAACACTGCATTTTTCTTTTTCTTGTTCCTTTTACGTGAGTGGATGGAGAGAGGGGTCAGTGCAACTCAAAGGCTCAACTTGCCAAGTTGCCTTAATACTGACATAATATATGATATGGTTTGCATTTTTCCACGACACAACCCCTCACTCACCTAGAAAACTATAACTTATCTGCCCTCAACTATATTATCAACAAAAACATATATAATAAAGTTGGTTAGGTGACTGTCATAGGCTTTTAAGTTGAGAAAATCATGTAAAACTGAAGATAAATATGTCCTCACAAAAGGGTTATATTTTGAGTTAGATTATTGCAATGGATGGAAAGAGTACAATGAAATAGTTTGTGGTGTTTAAAAAGTATAACAATACACGACAGAAGTCTTATCCCGAGGTTGCTGTGAAAGGCAACCCCACATTATAGTACTAAAATGATTGAACTCTTTGGGCAAAAATTCAAACAACAGAAACCAATTTGGAAAGACTGTGTGTATCACAATCCCACACGCTAATAAGTTATAAAAAGTAAACAAAAAGGATTTGTTCAGGGATTTTGAGAGGATTAATTATGATATCATGGAGTCTGATTCTGAATTTGGCAGCAATCATATATTATCATATACGATGTATACTCGACAAATATTAGGTTTATTCATATTTGCAACAAATCATCATTCGATTCATCTAAAACGAGAAAGTGTCACGTAAACATGCATTGACTCCATCTCTCTCTATTAATATTATTATTGTTATTGTTATTTCATGCACGCTGTGCTTGAAACAAGAAATGATAATGAATTGAGTATGATGTGAAAGTTAAAGGTGTAAGGTAGAAAAGCCTAGAATGATCATGTATAAAAATGATTAACAATTGATGTTTTTCAAACTACTGGGAATTTAATTTTGTTTGGTTCTTATCTGAATTTGTTACGTGGTATTGCTGATGTTGAGTGACAGTGCTTGGTGATGGAATGGAATGGAAGAACCAGATGTTGCCACATAGCTATAGGAGGAGGCTTCAGGATCTTCTGCATCTCTTGTGTTGTGTCATTCCTTACTTAAAACACTCCTCCAGAAAAGTTGCTGATTCAACTCAATTGGAAAAGCGCAATTCGTGTCATTTTCTTAAACTAGCACTTTTCTTTCCTCCAGTTATGTCAAATTTGGCCCCAAACCTACTTTTAATGATATTTCAAGTTAAAACACAACATTAGGAAAATTAAAATACTATTTAATCAACATAGTAGCTATAGTTAGTTAGTAGTTTTAATTAAGAATTTGATCGAAATATGGTAATAATATAAAAGTGTCAATTTTTTTTTTCATGAAACTTAAAATACTAGGATGATATACGAAATTTAAGCCAAAGATTATAGAGTACTACGAAAATTAAAGCGAAAAAAACAAATCTTTAGAACACGGTTGATCCCATCTCAAGAACACCCAAAAAATCGTTTCTTCTTCTACTTCATATTTTTCAAAAATAATGATATTGCCTCTAACATAAATATGTTTCTGAGGATTTCTTTCAAATTGAATTGGATTTTGCGAAATAGATTATATTTTCTAGAAATTGATTTCAGAATTTTTTTAAACATTATAATTTTTTTAAATATATTTTAAAAATATAATCTAAAACTAATTTTAAATTATAATTTTTAAAACATATTTTTAGATTATATTTTCAGGAGATGTATTCTATATTCGATAATTTAAAATTTATTTTTAGATGGTGTTTTTCATAATATCATTTTGAAAGATACAATTCAAAAATAAGTTTTGAATGGTTGAATTTAGAATACAATATAGAAAATATAATCTAAAAATAAGTTTTAGATTAGTCTATTAAGAATTTATTTTTGAATTATTATTTTCTATAAATATATTTCAAATATAATAATCCAAAATATCATAAATACAAATACAAAATCAATACGTTTTTTTATGGAATTTTTGGATATAAATAATGTTATACGATTCAAAATATAAATTACTGATAAATTTATAATCTTAAATTTCTAATCTTAGAGTAAAAATGATGCTCTTAAATAAAGGCGGAAGAGATACAACAAATACTATTATAGACATGTCGTGCAGAAGAGAAAAATTAACCTTATAAACATTTTTGACATTTTATTACGAGGGTGCAAAAGAAATTAGTGAGATGCAGAAAGTAGCCTCAAAAACTCTTATAATAATTGCCATCACTTGAATATGGGTTTGCCAAATTTTGACTGCTACAACCTTTTTGGGCTTCGATGGGCTTCCATTCCTGTTTTTTTTTTTTTTTTTTTTTTTTTTTTTTTATTATTGAGAAGGACCATAGAACCCAAGTATTATATGAAACTATATATAGGCTGGTTAATAATATTTAAATGGCTTATTTAGGTTTGAGTTCTTTTTTTTTTTTTTATAGATTTGATATTGAGATTTAACAAGTGTTTTTTTATTTGAAATATATTTTAAAATTTTATTTTATATAGAAAAATTCTTATATATAAAAGGGAAGTAAATTAGTAAGGTTAAACTTAAATTATACATGCTTTTAACTATATTTTTATATATCACAAATGATTTTTTATTCTCCTTTTTGTGATATATGAAACATGAAACTGTTGAAAGCACGCGCAGCAGTGTAGTTCACCCAAACCAATTTGACATGAGTAATTAATTATATTATCTTATTGGCTTAGTCCACTAAATAGGCACTGTGTCTACTTAAACAGTATAAACTTCTATTGAATGTTGATATTTAAAGTTACTAATTTAATAGATTTTTATAAATATTTAAAGTTAACAATATAGTATTCATGTTGAAAACTTCAATGAAGTAAATAAAGAACACACGCTATATAAAAATTAAAAGTCAATTTATACTTTGTTGTGTTTAATTTTAATACGTAACATATTTTCAAAATAAATGATGATTTACTAATTTAAAAAAAAACTTACCTGAAATTTATTTGCAAGAAACAACAACAATTTTTAATCATTATCTACGTTAAGATGTTTAATCTCATGTGCTTAATTTTAATATATTTATTTTGAAACTTTAATTCATCCTAATTTTATTTTTAAAAAGTATTTAATAATATATATATATATATATATATATATATAAATTATATTGACCTCAATTTTTAAACGTGATTAAACTCATTTTAAAAAAAATATAAGTAGTAGAAAATGCCGTACCAAACTTTAGAAAGAGAAGGAAAGATACTATTAGACAATGTTACTTTAATTATATATTTCTCACACTTGAAGAGCCACTAGCACGATTTAAATTATTCAATTCATTCAAATTTTAATCATATAAATGTGCATACACAAATCATTAATATTTTAGACCCATAGTCAAATGTTAATATCTCTTCTGACATATGAAATTACAAAAAAATTCTCACTTCTATGATTTTTTTTTTCTTTTGTAAACTATCTAGCAAATGTGTTGACTTTAGTTGGTAATAAAATGTTAAATGTTATTTCCTAAAATAAGGACAATCCTTGTACTTTCCTACACAGTGTCAAAAGTAGGAGCAGGTTGCTGTTTCACAAGTCATTTGTTGTTCATGGCTGCATATGCTACCATAACAACTACACTCTCTTTTCTGTCATCATTTCTTCTTTTTTGCATACACACCACTTTCACTTCGCTTTTCCATTCTTCCCTCCTTTATTAATTTTCGCGTCCACTTATAGAACTCTACACTAGTAAGTAATTATTATTTATTTATATTACCAAAAAGATTATGTATTCTAGTACTTATTATATGATGAAGACTTTTCTTCTTTTTTTCTCAGTTTTTGGATGCAGAAAAAACTATGACTTTGACAGGATCATCTTCTGGGCAGCCTCAATTCATTGCCAGCACCGGTAATCGGAGCTTGTCTAATGCGCCGTTGATTGAAAACCCAGGCTCTGGTCAAATTATTGTGCCTGATGTGAGTTTCAATGGCCCTTCTAATGTTACTGGTTAACTTTGCATGATGTTTTTGGTTGCTTTATGGATTTGAAAAATTGTGTGGGACAGAGCCGAATATGGCTTTATATTTGAGATTACATTTGTTATTTTGGAGTGGATGCTTTATTTTCTGTTTATATGCTACTGCTAAATTGTATCTTAATTTTTTGGTCCGTGATTTGCATATATTGATAAGAAACTGGAATATGACATAAAGGGGGCACGAAGTGGGTATTTGATTTGACTTGTATTTAAGAGAAACCATGTTTATCTGAGATTCAATTTGGTGAATTAATTATTATTTTTTTCTTCATTTCCTCAAAATAATTATAAATTTTGTTTATTTTCCAAATAAAAACACAATAATTGTATAAAATATGACATAAAATGTGATTTGACCTTTTCTTTTTGTTTGGTCTGGGAGTTATAGTTATAAAATAGTAAGGCCAATCCTTTTTTGTTTCACAGGATCACAAACGACATTAGATATGTTTAATAGTAAATTTGAAAAGACACTTCAGTATGATCTAAACTCAGTCAATTTTTACATGATACAAATAAAACTGAACTACGTGTGATATATAGATTAGTCTGAAATATGCACACTTAGTGATCACATTACAATTACTCCAGTTTGTATGAATAATTTAGTGTGTTTGGTTAACGGTGCAGACATATATATATATATATATATATATATATATATATTTAATGATATGGACAGAAAAGAAATAGACAGATTAAAAAATGAATAGAATTTATAGAGATAATTTTGAGGAGAGTCTGTGTCTCTATACTACAATTTTTTTCTAATTTTTTTTTCTACGTTTCCTGTACTTCTCTTTATATTGATTCTAACAATTGTTTCTAATTGATATAACTTTTTCTAATGGATGTATCTTCATTTCGAGGGTCATATCCATTGATTTGCATTCCTTAGCTTTAGACTCTTGGATGGGTTGTAACTGTTGGATGTTTTGCATCTTTTTAGTGTTATGTGCCTCGTGGTTTATAATTGTTGCTTCTTTTGTTTGTTTCTTAGTGTATATCTTGGTAATAGGTGGCTTATTGTTATCATTTAATGTGATTTCACCTTTATTTAGAAGCTGCTTGTAGTTTCTATATTCTTATAGCATTCTAATGTGATAATCTGGCTAAGAATGTTTCTAAACGCATTGCTTATAAACTTCCAAGTAATTATTTGACTCTGTGACATGTAGAAAAAGAAAATCATTTTTCATTTGGCATTTTGTGAACTGAAGAATATTAAGTTTTTTTTTTTTTAATTAGTGGCATAATAATGACAACCTGAGATACTACTGATTTGATTGCAGAGTACAGTTCAGTAATTGACGTATTGTGGGTTTTGTATTTTGCAGAGAACAAGCTGGAAAAACTTATTTGCATACGTGGGGCCTGGATTTCTTGTTTCCATTGCATATATCGACCCTGGAAACTGTAAGATCACTTATTCATCCTTTGTTTTTCAAATTAAAGAAAATATATACTTCCTAACATAGATATGCTTATTTTATTTTTACAATGGCTTGCAGTTGAGACGGATCTTCAATCAGGAGCACAATATAAATATGAGGTGTGTATGGTATAGTTTTGTGCAGTTGTTTCAGCTTGGATTCATTTTTCTAATTTAGGCCAGATATACCTTGAACAGTAGTTGATTTCCTTTATGATGTTAAAGTATGTATGATTGGATTTGGACCCACATAACTTTGTTAGACTCAAATGGCATTTGTAAAAGCTACGACCAATTTAACTGATATGTTTGTGTTCTACATAATAAAATAGGTTCATATTTTTAGCTAGCGAGTGGTTTTTTGTACCTATAAAGGTTTCTAATTGATGATTTTTGCAGATTTAAATTTTGTCATTGAATGCAATTAGGCCAATTTTGTTTAGTTAATAGGTTATTATACACTCATGCTCCAGTCCTCACATTACTTTTTTGTCACATTTATGCTTTCAGTTACTATGGATCATACTGGTGGCGTCTTGTGCTGCTCTTCTAATTCAAACAATGGCTGCTAATCTTGGGGTTGTCACTGGTACTTGAGTTAGTATCTTTTTGTTTTTTACTGAAAAAAATTTGATCATTATATTATAGGTTTGGATTTTAAATTTCCTTCTTTGTTGTCAATATTTTCAAAATTCTGTTTTCTGCTTGCAGGAATGCACCTAGCTGAGCATTGTAGAGCTGAATATGCTCGAGTGCCCAACTTTATCCTTTGGGTGATTGCTGAAATTGCCATAGTGGCCTGTGACATTCCTGAAGGTATGGTATCTGGGCGAATTTACATTTTTGAACTGTTGCTACTTATACATTTAAATGGTACGTATCATAATCATTGTCTTCTAATCTGATCCTGTTTGGCTGCCAAGGATGCTTTAGAAATATACATTAGGCATGACAAATGTACACTCAATAGAATAAATTGATCAGAGTTATAAGTACTATTACTGGACGACAATAATGAAAGTCACCACATAAGGGGCTACCTATATATCAATTTCTAAAACACAAACCATGAGTTTCCCCTTTTCTGATTCCTCTTTAACTTCTATTTATTTTTATCTCGACTTTCTATGCAGTAATTGGGACAGCCTTTGCATTGAACATGCTCTTCAACATACCTGTTTGGATTGGTGTTCTTCTGACAGGACTTAGTACATTGATCCTCTTAGCATTACAGCAATATGGGGTAGTTTTCTGTATTCTATACAGCCCTCTTCCCAATCGTTACCTGGCATCATACTATGGTTTGATATGATACACATAAATCATTGTATCCTGAACAAATTAATGGTTGACATGGTATGCTTCATTAGGTTATGTTTATATGAAAGCAATCTTAGCATTTTTTCTTGGGTGTTGAACAGGTGAGGAAACTTGAATTCTTCATTGCATTTCTAGTATTTACAATTGCTGTTTGCTTTATGGCTGAGCTTGGATATGCAAAGCCGGTGGCCAAAGAAGTTGTGACGGGTCTTTTTGTTCCAAAACTTGAGGGGCATGGTGCCACTGGTCTAGCAATTTCACTCCTTGGGGCAATGGTTATGCCGTGGGTTCCTCTTGTCTTCTTTCTGCAGCCATTTGTTTTAACTGTCCCTTAATAATGTGATCTAAATCAATGCTTTGTTTCTTTTTTTATTATGCATTTGCTTCAGACACAATCTCTTCCTCCACTCAGCGCTGGTGCTTTCCAGGAAAATACCGCGATCAGTTCGTGGAATCAAAGTAAACATCTAATCTCTTGTATGCATATATTCATTAAAATCAATTCATTTCCTGTTATAATTGAAGGATGTTAGACTACTAAGAACATTGATATAAATTGTTCAAACATCAAAAGGTAGTGGTTATAGTGAATTATAGTGAAGTTGTATCAAATGTCAGTCACCCATTCTACTTTTTTTTCTTTGACAGGAGGCTTGCAGATTTTACATGATAGAAAGTGCCTTTGCTCTTACAGTGGCCTTCCTCATAAATATTTCTGTTATTTCTGTTAGCGGTGCAGTTTGCAATTCTTCAAACTTAAGTGCTGAAGATCAGAATAGTTGTCAGAATTTGGATTTGAACAAAGCCTCCTTTTTATTAAAAGTATGTAACAACCATATATTCTTACTTCTTGACCTTCATAAATATTTTTTGTTGGAAAGTGTGCTAATAAAATCATTGACTATAATTTTTTACATGGTCCACACTCAGAATGTCTTGGGCAAATGGAGTTCAAAACTATTTGCAATTGCTTTACTTGCGTCAGGTCAAAGTTCCACTATAACAGGAACATATGCAGGGCAATATGTCATGCAGGTATGATTGTTTTTCTTATTCTAATGTTTTTTGGCATTAAAAGGAGTACTTTTGATCATCTTCAGTATAATGCTTACATGATGTATCTCACCATATGAAAGTCCACACTAAGTCCACTCATAGCATTTTGTGATTTGAATTTTCCATTAAAAAGTTTGTAGGACTGGTTAAGATTCTTTGAACTATATAATGAAGGCAGGGTAAGCAGCTGTCAAATTTTGTATTTTCATATGCAATTATAAACTCGTCTTGTTGTTTACGAGCTTTTAATGGTGGTAATGGACATCCCTAATAATGACCCCTCGTAGTACTGTTCATCCTTAGGCCATTTCTACTTTTCATTCCCCTTAATTTCTATCTTATTTCAGGGATTTCTTGATTTGCGACTGAAATCATGGATTCGGAATCTGCTAACCCGTTGCTTAGCCATTGTTCCTAGTTTGATTGTTGCACTCATTGGTGGCTCTTCTGGAGCTGGGGAGCTCATCATAATTGCATCAGTACGATTACCTTGCCATTAGCTTCTCTCCATGTTTTTTAACCATAGCATGTTATGTAATGCTTTTCACTTTGAAATTTGTTGGTATTGAAGTAAAAAAGTTGTTCAAAATTATCACAAGTTCATGGAAGTCTTTGTATCTTTGAAATTTGAATTTATGGCATCTTATATTCCTATGCAGTGTCGAGACAATGTTATATCATTATTCATTACCCTTTGACCTTTCTTGATGGTTTATATTGGCAATTCTATAATCCTCAAGATGATTATATCATTAAGTCTACTACTCATCCGGTTGCATACAGTTACTTTGTGCTGATATGAACCATTTTTGCCGTTGAAAACAAGTTTGCATACATGGCCTTGAAATAATTGTGTATTGGTACATCTTTGCGTCATCATATGCAGTTGTGCACTATTTGTGTTTTTGTAATAAAATTTGTATACATGAAACAATTGTGTAATTTCCATTAGATTGTGTATTGATAAATCTTGTGCATAATACTATTGACCTTGTAAGAATATCTCTGGGATACGATTAGTTTGTGCTGAAGTCCCTCAATGTCTGCTGATCAGATGATCTTATCATTTGAGCTTCCTTTTGCTCTGATTCCACTCCTCAAGTTCACTAGCAGCAAAGCCAAGATGGGAGAACATGTCAACTCAATCACGGTAACTTTTCTCGTGACAAGAATATTGAAAGTTGTTACAAATAGAATATTGATTGCCAGCATCACAAATGTATTTAGAATCGTTGTGTTAACATGCCTATTTGCAAACAAGAAAGACACAGTTATTTTGTCAGGAAAAAAAAAAACTGTTGTTCTGCATCATTTCTGATAAATGATTTTCTATGTATACTTCAATTACAGATTTCGGCTGTTACTTGGATCATTGGTTCCCTCATCATGGGCATAAACATATACTATTTATTGACTAGCTTTGTCAAGTTGCTTATTCATGCTCACTTCAAAATTGTGACCAAAGTATTTCTGGGGATATTTGGATTTTCGGGTGTGGCACTATACATGGGAGGCATAGCGTATTTGGTGTTTCGCAAAAATAAAAAGACTACACACATTTTGGCATTTAGTGCACAGGAAAATCAACAAATGGCGAATGAAGGAGATGTATCAATGTATAGTCTCCCAAGAGAAGACATAGTAAGCATGCAATTGCCTCAAAAAAGGAGTATGGCAGAATTTGATTAAGAAATAACTCAGTAAGGTGAAGTAGCTAGAGGAATCCTGACAAAGCTTTTATCAGGGATATAAAATAAGATCCGATTTAATGTTAATTTCTAGAAATTGAATATATGAAAAAGAGAACATTGCTTGGTGCAAATTAAGTACCAATTGTAATCAGCTGCAAGAAACAATGAAACTATGAAGTTATGTGTATATCTATATGTGTGTAACATAACTCTGTAGAAGATAAGAATCGAATCAGCTTTTAATTCATTCCTTTAATGTTGTTTCTTGAAATATCAGTGGCACTTGTTGAAACTGGAAAGACTATGCAATGATATTCTTTCAATCCTGCATATTACATCGCTCATAAATAGAAAAGTATCATAATACTTGTAATTTCGTTCTGGTGCATCCTATTTCCTCTCAAAGAAGAGTTTTGTAGTGCTCCATTTATAAATGGTGGACCCATATATAGCCAACTTCTCATGTAGAGGTAAATAGGAAAAAAAAATCTTTAAAAATCTAATTTATCGTTTATTTTCGTTCAAATTAAAAAAATATATTTAAGTGATAAAATTAATATGCTTTTAAGAATTAAAATGACAATAATGATAATGTCATACGATCCTTCTCTTGTCCTGATCCTAAATGATTAATGTTACTTGGATATTAATCAAGATCATAATCATCTAATTGATAATAAATAATTGATGTGAATATGCATATTATCGATTTTGAAGAATACCTCAAATAAGATATACAATGTTGTATTTATACATAGTTCCATATATTTTCAAAATCAAATAATAACTACCCAAAATATTATTAATATAAAAATGTTTTAATTAACTCCTAATTAGCTTCTTATTATCTTTTTATTCCAATAAACTCTAAAACTAATTATTTAATTTTATTCCTTTTCTCGTAAAATTAAATTTCTTCAACAAAAACAACGATCGACTTGATACCAATCTCCCAAATCTCAATTCGCTGTCTTCAACCCTTCTTTGAACTTTGAACCACGTGATTGACAAGACATCGAACACACCTGACAAGCTTTAAAATTCCTTGTGCTTCAAAACATGAATTCAGCTTGACAACGATCATTCACTTGTTGTACTTCAAAACTTCTTGGCCTTCAAAACATCTCGATTCCAAACTTTCGAGATTCCTACTAGCCGGGTTGTCATATTCTCGAGCACCTCGAGTCTCTTTCATCCTTTATCTCGATCATCGACATCTCCGTACCAGTCACTATCCATCGGGGTTGATACTCGAATTTAAATTGGCAATCTTGATATTATTCAAGTATCACCTTTGCGTACACCTCTTAGGACAAACATATTCCCGACTCATCCTTGCCTTTCTTAACATACACATCCTTGAACATACCATCGACGAATATATCTCGTTGGTAAATTAACAATTAATTACCGACGGACATTATCGACAAATTTAAAGTATATTTTTAAAAATCAACATTAAATTAAAAAATTAAATATTTAAAATTATATAATAATTACTTAATTTTAAATATATTCTAATAAATTAATTATTCACCTAATTAAAAAATTAAATATTTTTTTATTTAATAATTTAATTTAATCATAATTAGATTAATTTATAATAATTTGTTAAATTAAATAATTTTAAAAAATAATTTTAAAAATAAATATTTAAGTATTTTTAATATTGAAAAAATTATTTTAATATAAGAATTTTAATTAAATAATAGAAGGAAAAAAAGATAAAAAGAATAAATTAAAATAAAATAAAAATAAAAAAGAAAAAAATTATTTTATATCATTATATAAATAAATTATAAATATTATATTCTATCATTAAATTACAAACCTATATAAAGAGACTCGCTCACAAATTTGACATCAAAATTTTGAAAATTCACTTAACACACACTTTCACCTTCGAGCACGCCCTCACATCCAATATATAAATATATAAATATATAAATATATAAATATATAAATATATAAATATATAAATATATAAATATATAAATATATAAATATATAAATATATAAATATATAAATATATAAATATATTTGTATTTACACTAATAGAAAAATAGGATTCTATGACGACTTTTTATGACGGTTGTAGTCGATCCGTCATAGTATGTAGGGCGGTAGCATTTTTGTAATAATTTTATGAACTTTTTATGTCGGTTATTAGGTAACCGACATGGTAAGTGAGAAAGATCACTTTCTATGTCGGTTAAAATTTAACCGACATAGAAAATATATTTGATGACGAATATTAGGACAACCGACATAGTATCTTCTGTCTTACCCTCGCCGCCCCACTCCATTTTATCACTTCACCCATAGCAGAGCTTCCCATTCTCTCTATCTCTACTGTGAACGTCGTCGCCGGTGTATGTTGCTCCACCTACTGTTGTCGTCGCGCCACCTGCCTCTGTCATCACGCCACCTGTCGTTGTTGTCGGCTCTGTACGTCGTGCCACCTGTTGCTGCTGTCGCTGCTGTCATTGGTGCCATTCGCTGCGAGTTTTGATTCTAGGTCTTCAAGAGATAAGTTTTCATGTCTGCTCTAGCGATTTGAATGTGTTTCTGTAGCCATTCTAGGTTTACAGTTTTGAATCTGGTATGTGATAATGCTGTCAAGAGAGGGAAAGAGCACGGGTGCCCTTTAGCCAATTTAGTTGCTAGATTCTAAGTCACTTTCTTTCTTGATTTTGATTTTGAAAATTAGATTTGTATTATAATGTAGTTGTTTCATTCTAACTCAAAACTATCATCACTTATGCTCCCCCTAATGTGAGACAAGACGGTGAACTTTGATTAGAGTCAGTCATGAAATCATCCACTGTAGGACAAAACTTCCTATTGAAAGATTAAAATATCCAATCACGTGACATCGTAACTTCTTAGCTAAAATGTCCTCAAGTCCAGGTGTTTTGAAAGCCTTGAGCATCCACAAAAACCTATTTTGTTTCTACTTTTGTTACGCCCTTTGTTCTTCTTTTCATCAGCCATTTTCAGCAAAACATATTGGATGTTATCATCCTCAAACTATACTTATATGTTGTGTTATGTCACATAAGGTAACAATGGATCGGAGTTGGATCAATTAAAGACGAACAACAAATGAATATGAGAGTGGAGTAGAACAATTCCTTGAATTCGCTAGGATGAATGTTCCGGATAATGATGGAAGATTCTATTGCACGTGTGTTAATTGTTTGAATGAGCGAAGATTACCGACTGAAGTTATTCGGGAGCATGTTCTTTGTGATGGTTTCCTAAAGAGTTACATAAAGTGGACATGACATGGTGAATTATTAAACATGTCAAGTGTAGAAGACAAAGAAGAAGTTGATCTAGAGATGGATGATCAGTGGGAGGAAATGATTTGTGAGCTTGGACAAGATGCCTTCCAACATACTCATGTGTACGAGAAGTTGTCCAATGATGCAGAAAAAGCCTTTGTATAAAAATTGCACTAAGTTCACACAATTGTCGGTGGTACTAAAACTGTTCAATGTGAAGGCAAAGAATGGGTGGACTGATAAAAGTTTCACAGAATTGCTTGAGTTGTTAAGTGATATGCTCCCTAAAGGAAACACATTGCCAACCCGCAATTATGATGCTAAAAATATATTGTGTCCAATGGGTATGGAGTACCAAAAAATTCATGCATGTCTGAATGATTATGTGTTGTACAGGAAAGAATTTAAGAACTTTCACGAATATCCATAATGCGGGGTGTTAGATATTGTTTAAATATTATTTGATATTGTTAAGATATTGTTAGATATTGGTAACCACAATATCAAACAATATCTTCTGTTTATTCTGTTACTTTCAGTTACTCTTTTAGTTGTATCTCTCTACTATAAATAGACCACCCTATGTGTGATTTATACACAAGGAAAATTAATTCCAAACCCTATTTTTTCTATATTCAACATGGTATCTAGAGCTTAAGATTATCTTGAATTTTTTTTTCCGCCTTTTGTCCACTATTGGAGCCGCCCCACCGCTGCTGGTAAACTGATCCTCCACATCAGAAAATAATTATCTTTGTCATTGAATTTTATTTGGTAGTGTGAAAGTGCATGTTTAGGAAAGTTCTGGCAAGGAAAGACTTGGTATTTAAGTGTGTCCATTAGTGACCCACTTCTCTTTCCCGAGAACTTACCTAGTGTACTAGTTCACGTTATCGTCATCACTGCCGCTGGAGCGAGCCACGGGTCCACCTGTCGGAGAATTCGCCGGAGTTTCATTTTTTTTTACCGGTGACATATGATTTTGCTTGTCTCGGTCAGGTGACCACCGTGCCATTGAGATGACCACTATCGGAGTTGGTCGTCCCATTGTCTCCTGCACCGTTTAGTCTTGGCGAACTTATTTTTAGTATTCTCATTTTGGATTTGTGCTTCGTGGGTTAATTGGATTACTTTGGATTGTTTTAGGGTTTGTTCTCCCGCTCTTCATGACTTCTTCCACTATTTCCAATTTTGTTAACGATTCTTTTGTGTTGACATCCCATCGTGATGACCGGGCTCGCCCTCGCAAACGAGAAAAAGGGCGTCCTAAGTGTGAACATTGTGGCAAGCTAGGTCACAAGATTAACAAGTGTTATACATTACATAGTCGTCCTCCTCGATCTGCTGTAGTTGTTTAGACCAATCTTTCCCCACCTTTATCTGCAGGGGATCTTCCTTCTTCGTTGCATCCGACATGTCCGCTATATTTAACAAATTTCTCGAATAGTATAAGGATCAATAGTCTTCTAGTTCCACTATATTTGTCACACATACAAATACATATTTTCTTGGTCCGACCCAATCATTTTCTCCTGGTCCTTGGGTTTTTGATTCAGGAGCCACTGATCATATTACTGGTAACAAATCTTTGTTCTCCTCTTTATCCTCTCCTAATCATTTACCTTCATTACATCGGTCGATGGCTCTAGAGTATCATCTCATGGTGTTGGAACGGTTAAACTTTTTCCTTCTTTAACCATTGATAATGTT